TTATACGCTTTCATGAAGTCTATTTTTGGGAGAACAGTTGTGTCCTTCAAGGTGTCTGTCAGGTTATTGATGTGCTATCGCGTGAGGTTGTAGTGGTATTGGCCATAACCATACCATCCTCAAAGCCCAAGGTGAGATAACTGGGAAAATATATATTCATTATTTAACATGAAGAGAAGGCCAAAAATGGTGAACTCGGAAATACTCAGTTGAAATAAATCGGATGGCATGGCTCAGCTTTGATAGCGCGGTCATCCTTGTGTAACTAATCGCTTTTATTCATATTAAATATACCATTTTATCTCCAGCCTTAATATGTTCTCCAGAATTAGGCAACATCATATTGGTAATTCTTACAATAGGATGAGTCAGTGTAGACAATGGTATGACTTCCACATAAGATCTTAAAGATTAGGTAGTCACATCATGATGAATCTAAAATTTTAGGGTTAGATCTATTATTAGAGCAGTACTAATAACGAACGCAACTACATTTCTACAAGGTTTTCGTAATAAGTCGTCACATTCCTCAAGTGGATACTAACCATTGCTATCATTTTAAAAGATCATCTCCATGGGAGGTACCGATAAGTTGTTTGATTGCCGGATAACTCCAAAATTCATCATATGATCGAACTCGTATTTAGCTAAACTTAGCTTTCCAGGAGCCGTCTGCAGAACGATTTTAAATTGGTAAGCTGATTGTACAAGCACTAAAATAAGGAAATAGAGTAAAGTATTTCCAAAATAATAGGAGTGGGACGGATTTACAGTAAAGCACTGAGAGCGTGCAGGATAAGTTTTCAATCTTGATGGAATTTTGTTCTCTGAGCTAAATGGTTTGGTCGTGGAGCTTTCATCGTTCTTCTGAACGACATCATCAGCACAAACTTCAGAATGAAGTGAAGTATGAAGTGTGCTGATGATGTCGTTCAGAAGAGCGATGAAAGCTCCACGACAAACCATTCAGCTCAAAGAACAAAACTCCATCAAAATCATCCACCTGAGCTACAAATCTCCACCATCTCAAGTTTTCAATCAGCGAGATTAATCATAAGATGTGTGAGCATGAGTTTAAGAATCTTTCCTGCGAAATCTGGAAGTTTCTTCTCACCCTAACAATCCGTTTCACTCCTGTATAACAAACGTGTTGACTGAGGTGGACAGATGGAAAACCATCCTTGATCAAAGGGGAAGCCTGATGTCTTATAACTTGACTTCTCAGAAGCCTTCGATAGTGTTGTATCCCAGTGAAGATTATATTATGGGTAACTCCCGAGGATTATTAATGGACTAATATCCTATAGACATTCTTATTGTATAATTATTCAATAATTAGATTACGTATATTTATATTCCCCTTATTATAGGCTTCCATTTGACCTATAATTTATTATTATACGATTTACTGTCCCTAAATTATGCTCAGTTTATTAACTACTGTCTTCCACGTTCACAGCCACTTTTTGGCTTTGTTGTGTACAAATGTTACTTCCTACTTTACGGTGCGTTGCGGTCTGTTTGGTTGATATATAAACCCAGTATGTCTGAAATATATGATTCGCATGATGGAAGCTGGTATTGGTGTTCTAAACTCGAGTGGACGGTCTAGGCGGACATAGGACCAATGAGGACGCTAGGCTGCTCATACCGGTCGAACGTCATTGGTTTGGCACAGCTCTAAGATTACATAAGTCGTATTTTAATTAGTACAAATACCACATTCTGCTCGAGAGGTATCCCATGTTGAAAACGATCTGAGAGTGTCGGTACACTATGATGTGATATCTTGCGCTAACTCAGACAAAAATGCGTTTCGAGCAAACCTTGCACTTGCATCTTAGAAGCGCACTTTGAGCCAGTTCGACGCAAGAGCTTAGAGTATGGGAATATAGTGTTTGACCATTTACTCAAAAAGGGTAAGAATACATGGCTAGTCGCGAAATCAATTCGGGAACCCAAATTCGGGCATTACGAAGAGAGCCCTAAGTCAGTGGACCTTGACCCATCAGATAATGGGAGTCTTAGAGGTGACCTTCCAAAACACTCTTGAGCATCTCCTCAAATATCTGCTTAAGCTCATTCTATGCACAAATTTTGGGGGAAACATCCAGAAACTGGAGACAGAACATAGCAGAACGGTCTGTAAACATACCTTTTAAGCCTTGTGAGCAGTCAAATTCTGGAATCCTCTAAAATCTGAGCTAGTTCAAACGACTTCCCAGGAGCGCTCTAAGAGGAAACTTCAGACTTCAGTAATAAGGATAGTAGGTTGGTGGACCTGTGTTAATCCTGACAGATTACCTTCCAGTGTTGGTCCAGCTTCCCCTTGAAAATATTCACTGATGGGGCTGATGCCACTTGTTTGGGTAAGGCATTCCAGTTATTGACTACTTGATGATAAAAAACGGGAGCCCACTTTAAGTACATTAGATCGTGGTTTATGAACTTTCTTGCTATGACCTCGGAGATTATTAGCGCTGTAGGGAGCAAAACAATAAGACATATTAACACACAAATCATAATTAAAGATACGAAATGCCAGTATAGGGTCACCTTGCGTCTTGCGATACGACAACGGGAAGAGGTTAGGCGTTTTAAGCGCTCAACATCAGAGAGTTTAGAAAGACCCTTCACTAATTTTGTTCCCACACGCTGAACACGCTTATCTGAGTCAATATCTTTTATCAGACACGGGCTAACTGTCTGAATACACTACTCTAAGTGTGGTCTTACATAGATGGGACACAAAACTCGAAACATTTCCTCGTCAAAGCATTTGGATGCTCGGTGATGTGAGCATAACGCGCGAGAACTTTTGACAGTATTTCACCATGATCTACTATTATTTATTCTCTCTTATTGTTAAATATGCATAGGTTCCTACCTGGTAGCATCGGTAATCCACTGCTACAGGATACGGAAGCTCGTCAAGTGAAAGCCTCTATTCCGTCCAGAAAAACTTGAATTTATTTAGAAGAATACAACACAGTAGTTGTAAAAAATTAACATGAGCCACTAATTTCACAGGAGAAAAATCTGACTTATAAAGGTAACTATGTGTTAGTTCACCGAAATAAGTTTTAATATGCCGAGATTGAAGGTATAAGTGGTCAGCGCGTGAAGTGTTTTTGTTGCCAAATGGCCAATGCAGTTGATAAGTTTATGAAATGTATGCGTTCTGGAGCAGACCCAACTAAAATTCTTGAGGAAATCCAAAAGTACGATATATATTTACCGTATCACTTTTAGTCTCCTCTCAACTAACAATTTTTCTGGAATTTCGTGTACAAACTTAGAGAAGTTGGTGTTTGGTCCTGAAGGGCTTGTTAGATTTTGCGAATCCTCCACTCAGAAGAGCGAATATGCAGTTGAATTTATTTTAATGCTTGTAAAGTTCGGAGTATTGTAGGTTTGACGTCATAATATTTTCTGACGAAGCAGACCGACTAAACTTTTGAATCCTAAACGAAAGGACCATCTTGTGTCTGCGGTTTTAAGTGTTACGAAAAACAGCAGGAAAGAAGAGCTCTGGATCAGCTGTCTTTCATTGTTGACAAACGAAAACTTTACTGAGGCTATTGGTTCTTCTAAAATTCTAGTACTGCTAAATATTAACTTATATTTCAGTCTGATATGACATGCGATTTCTTTCTGCAGATACATACTGTTGCCACAAAAAGCTCTGAAGTTTTGGAGCAAGCATCCGCCGCTTTCTATAAGTAAGTTATATATGTTATCTTGGTATTCTGATTATAATTGCGGACTAACTGATTACGTGACCTATATGTTTCTGCCTTTGAGCACATGATAAAATTGTCCACGAACATTGTTGCACTTTTCGATATCCTACTGTATCACATTTTCGTAACTATGTTTTGTGAGCCTTTAGTTAAAGTGTACGAATCTAATGTCCTTTCCAACTGATAGGAAACTAGCTCACATCTATCCTGATATTACCGATATCAAACACATGTCTACCCCTAGTGTTAGGTCGTTTACATTTCATGTGGCATCTTAGTTGTAAATGTGTCTCTTTATCTGACTCACATCCTTTGAATGTCATTAAATTATTGTGGTGACTGTAGCATGCATATATAGGATCCCAATCAGCGTCATGCAATTATTTGGATTGAGAATGGAACTCATACTGTCTAATTTGCAACCTGAATAATTTATGAGACCGGGAACTGATGAGTTATCATTTTGGGTCATCTCATCGGTCAACTAACTTGTTTCCTTCTAGGCAGTATGTGTTGTTGGATGAGGTCCTCAAGATGCTGGGAATTGATGACTTAGGATTCTAGGTAAAACTCAAATATCGTTCAATATAACAGTGGGCCGTCTATTCTTTGTATTCTTTCAAACGCTTATTCGTATCACTTAGAATGTTCTCGATTAGTCGTCTTCACTCATATCTTCAGCTGGTTTTAATGTTCATGTTACAAATTAAAAAGAATTAAACTGCCGCACTATTACGCAATGTATCCTGTCGTTTTGTCCCTGTAGCTATTTAAACATTTTCGTGTTTTCGTTTGATTTAGAGGAGGATATAAGGAACTGATATTTCCTCTGTACATATATTCCACTTCATGTATAGTGAGTCTGAATTATTTTATCTATGGTTCCAAGTAAGTAATCCGTAACTGTGTGGGCAAATAGAAGTAAACGGAATTTTTTCGATGTGGAAGTTTGCATGATCCAGGTTCATGTTTTCAAAAGCTGTCCAGGTCATCCTGGGTAGTTTTCCTATTATATGTAAAGTAACAAAATTGCTGTTCATTTATAGGCTGTGGGAGTTTCAAGTTGATCTGTTTTTGCGCCAACCTACTTTATCAGCTTTACATTCTGTGGTCAAAATCCTGGGTTTTGGCATGGCTTTGGCAAAGCTTGTTCCGGAGAAGTATATACAGAAGTTAAGCCGTTTGTCTGGCAAACTGATCGATGTCGAAAGGAAGTTACAGAGTAGTGGTTTAGTACCGAAGGCCCACTTTTTCAGCATGCGAGAAGTTGTTGACTTATCTCCCATGGTGAGCTTACTCAGATCATCTGGTTGTGTCCTTTTTAATGTTATCTAGTTGTAAAAGTATTTTTTGCCTATAGGACTTTCGTAATTTATCGGTGTAAAAGTTCCCCCAGCTTTTTTTACACAGTGAACTTGACATGCGTTTTATTTGTTTAGTCCTGATGATATCGATATACTGTTTAAGCTCCCAAAGCTCACTGTTCACTTTAAACCATCATCAAAGTTAACCTCATCGACTGAGGTGGTTAGGATATGGATTACATACACATAGTCACCTACTTCGACGAGCGGTGCTTTATATTGCAAAAGTAGGTAGGAAGAAAGTTAAAAACGACCGAACTAAAATGTGGAATCACTCCATGAAGACATTAACTGTAAGTCTGAGTGATCTGGTAGATGCAGATTTAGTTGTGGTCCACATTATAATCGTGACCAGTGATGAGACTGGGTGATGTTTCGGAATCAATCACAGTAGCATAGGTCCATTCACGCTTTATATCCCTATAAACCTTGAGTCTCAATATTTCTCCACATATAATTTTCCACTCTTCCTTTTCAAACCATATTTCAAAGATTCAGTCATCTTTTATATCACTGTTACTACATTATTTCGATCTGTTTTGTTATTCTTGTCTCGTTGTCGTGTTAATCTGGTATGGTAACTTGGACCAGCGCACATTTTTGTCAGGCTCTATGTTGATGGTGTCCGTTTTTCGATTGGGATTTATTAGATGGTTTTTGCCTATTAACGACTATAACTAGGAAATAAAATCTCAGTAAAGCTGCTCTGATATCCCAAGAAATTTCTTTTGGTACTACGATCGTGAAATCTACCAATGTTTATCAAACCTGTGGGAATTAACGAAATTACTACCACTGTTACTTTTTCTTTTACCACTACACCAGATTGTCACACTGTGTACTAACCGCAGGTACTATGTGGGTACTCAAGACACGATTAAGAGAAGTACGAATTTATAGTCGATCACACCTTAATAGTTGCTTCAACTGAAATGAGTATTTTGTCGTCCTAGTCATCCAACCACTTTAAAGCATATGTAATATTTTGAATAATAAGTTGATGTCTTCCAAATGTGATTTTTATTTCTGAGCCTGTTTCTCTATATTTAAACTTATAAAAACGCACATTATGTAGAAAATATATGTTTTGCGTTACTCGTTGATATCCATAGTCGTGCAATACATCTTAACTTTTACATTTATCATGATCTGAATAGCGTTGGTGAATTTATATTTTTATTCTGGATATATCAATAGTATAAGAATATGTTATTCAGTGATTTTAAATGACATGCTTTTGTTTTCAGAAAATGCTTTCAATGATAGCCGATATTTTGTTGCAAAAACCTGGTCCAGTTCTGGTTATCCTCAAGCAACTTGTATCCATGTTTCCTGCCGTAAGTCTTGAGTTACTTGTATCAAAATAAAATAGTTTTGGTCTTCATCCTAGGAGTTATGACTAAAAGACAGTCCACCTCTATGGTCCCATCGGGAAGTCTGACTAAATTAGCTGTCTATCGATACTAGTTAGTTGTTGTCTGGATCGTAAGTTTTTTGGATGGACTGCTTGGGTGTGAAGATACTAGCAATTGAGCGATCCTAAGGTCCAGGACCTGAAAGGTAAGTCGGCCTCAGGCAGAGTGAGGGCATACAACCACCTTTCTCCTTTATTCCATTCGAGCAGTGGAGTTAGGCAGGGTTGCCCAATCTCACCATTCCTCTTCAACTTCGCCATCGATGACATTCTAGAAACAGCTTTGACGGATGTAAGTAATGGTTGTGTGGATCTGTTGCCTGGAGAAAGACTTCTTGACCTTGAATATGCGGATGATATTGTCTTACTGTGCGAGACTGTCCAAGCTATGCAATCCGCACTTAATCAGTCGGCAATCAGTGTCCGTAGATATGGTATGTGCTTTGCACCTTCGAAGTGCAAAGTACTTCTACAAGACTGGTAGGATTCTAATCCTGTACTCACTGTGGATGGTGAGCAGATAGAAGTAGTCGCTGGTGGTGGTGTGAGTGATGAGATCAATACAGGTATAGTGAAAGCCAGAGCGGCTTATGCCAATCTGAGGCATCTTTGGCACCTTCGTGATGTTAGTCTGGCTGTAAAAGGTCGGATCTACAACGTGTCGGTGAGAGCAGTTTTGCTCTATGCTTGTGAAACCTGGACTCTCCGAGCTGGGGATGTTATACGACTCTATGTGTTCGATAATCGTTGTCTCCGAAGGATTGCTGACATCCAGTGGCAACACCATGTTAGTAATGCAGAAGTTCGGCATCGTATGTTCGGGCATAGGGACGATAATTCCATTGGTGTCACCATCTTGAAACATCGACTTCTGTGGCTTGGACATGTTCTACGAATGTCGTCCCAGAGAATTCCACGTCGTGCATTATTTGCCGACGCTGGGACTGGTTGGAAAAAGCGGAGAGGTGGTCAGTTTATAACATGGTGTCGTGGTATGAAAGAAAGCTGCAAAGGGCTGTCTTGTGTTGGTCGTTCACGACTCCCTGGCTGGGGTCTGAGAGATGGTGTAACACAGTGGCTAGAGACGTTATCAGATATGGCTCAGAATAGAAGCCAATGGCGATCCTGCCGTACCCTTCTTTTACTTCCTTCATAAAAAGTGGTTGCTTCTTCCTTAACTTAAGGAATTCTTCTGATTGTACCTTTCCGTTTCCCCGATTATTGTTCTCTCTTTTTTTATAATTCCCCACGTTCATTACTTTTTTTTCTTTTTTTTCTTCACTTCAAATTCTCATTGTTTTGTGTGGCGCATATATATTTGGTGCCTCCTTGTACCAATATTTATGTGTTCAAATAAATAAATAAATAAAATAATAAGGTAAGTCGGCTGATACTACTGCAATACAGTCGAAATCGTTGTCCTGAGGTTCTGTGTTATGTGAATCAGTAATACGCTTGGAAATAGCAATGAGTTCCTAAAGCAATTCATAAGGTGACTGATGGTGATTTGCGTAGGAAGGTTCGGTGGGGTCTTTAGTATGGTAATAACAAGTAACTGAAGACCGTAGGTGACATTGCTGTTTTCTTGTGATAGTGTAAGTGTATTTTTGAAGTCATTAGTCAACCAGTGATCAGCAATTTAGGACCTGGCATAAATGTATATCATGTTGCCACACAACACAGCAAATGTAATTAATGATATGAATACTGTGGTCGTCGTCGGCGTCGTATTATTAGTGATTGCAAGAGAAATTGTTATAAAAGAATGCGGTTTGATTAGAAAGAAATTACCTCGATAAATAAGAATTATATGATAATATTAAAACCCAGGATCCTGGAGGAGATAAAAAATTGTTGTATTTGAGTCGCCGAAACCAGTTTGTGTTTGAGCATTTTGTTGCCAATCATCTCTCTCGAAATACGTTATTTTTATATAGTTTAATATCCCTAGTTTTTGGATTTCTGTTCGATAGATGTAAGATGTAGCAACCTTAACACATGAGAATTTTTCGGAATTTGTGTTGACTTTTATATCTACTCTATAGATAATGTGCACAAGTTACCATAATATTCTTGGGTAACCAGTAGTATTACTTACATACTAACAGTAATATTAGTAACAGAGCTCTGTGTAGGATTCAACTATCAAACGTTTGCTTTAGGTTGTGTTGAGTTAATGGAGTCATCCAAAATAGTGCTAAATCAACTTGTAAAAAGTACGATTCTCTCGATTTTTTTTTTGTTGATAATAGTTGGTGACTCTTGAATTAGTGGCAAATTTTACTGTTGTTTTTATTGTCTGTTCAAGTCATATAACAGTTAACAACTAGGTGTCGATAGCGTTTTATACTACTTTAGGTATCACGGGTATTGTATACGTTAACACTATGTAGCACAATCATTTATTAACTATATGAACCATTGAAGGAATTAATTTGTGCAAAAAATCAATATAAAGTTTTCGGAAACCAGTAAAGGAAAATAAATATGCGTTATACTTTATGTATGATTCTGATCGGATTCACATTAGTTTTGAGAACAAAATGTATCAAGCTTTTGTGTTTACTGTCACGACTGTTAAGCGAAATTTCCAAAAATAATTTTGTTTAAAATCTCAAGTATATTATGCACCTAAATCAGTTTATTTCTATTGTCTTTTTCATAATCCTTTTCAGTTCATAATGGAAGAACCGTCTCTAGTTAAAATAATCGAAATCCTAATGTGTGCAATCCGTATGCCTTATCAAGATATAGGTAACATGAACAACGAAACGAAAGATTCCGAAGAAATATCTGAAGAACCAGCTGTTTTATCTCTGGATATCTTCATTAAACTAGTTACAACTTTATCCAGTTATGGTTCAAAGTTTAATGGTATGGATTTTAATTCATTCAAACAAAATTACTCGGTGTTTACGCTTATTGCTCATACATTTGGTCATGATATTAAAAATACTGGATAAAGCTGGTCTGACGCTTTGGAATCGTTGTTTTATTTTGAATTATTAATTTCTTGTTTTGATGTTAGTGATATATTTGTATGATAGAAATAGATATGTTGAAATTTGATCTTTTTTTCTGATTTTGTTTATTTTAACAGATCTCCCTAAACTATTACTCCAACTTTTTGATCTACTTAGAGCTTTTCCAATCACATTAGCTCATTCAGAAGCTCGCCTGTTTGCATGGTGGCATTTCATTTGCTGCTTAAATTCAGATTTACTTATTGATGGTTTTAGAAAGGTAAGTTACAAATTGATTGTTAATTTATTTATTGCTTGTAATTATGACATATTTTTTTCTTAACTGTTACTTATTTATTGGTCAGTACATAGACTTGCAATGATTATGTGTTTTTTCAAAAGTGTGATAAGTGGAATCTGATGTTAGTTTACAGAAAGTGATCGTATAGTTGGCGTACTCCACTGATTAATTGGCATTAAGTTTTTCTTAGTTTTTATATTAAAATCCGTATGTAGTCATTAAGTTAAATTATTTTCTCAAGTACAGTGATGTGTCGATAATGTTATACATCTTGAGTTAGACTTTACTTGTGAATAGCTCATGATTGTGTGTTGTATGTGGTTTAATTGAGGATTATGTAAGACAAGATGAAATCCTTTTGATCCTTCACTTTTTTATAACATTTCGTGTTTTAGCCGTGATACATAACGATGTATAGCTATTATTTAGATTGTTAACTGATCCCTTTCTTTTTCGCCTACAACTAAAGTAATATACAAAGTAGATGAAGGAACGACAATGATTGTTTTATTCAATTACTTTATCAACAGAGACCTAAAAGTCTGAATATGGATGAGATTTATGTGTTACAGTTTTCAATATACATAGTCTCACAGCTGACTGATTCGAAGCCTTCAGTGATTGAAGATATTAGTGAGGCTTTTCCGAGAATCATCAGCAGTAAACTAATTGGTTGGATCATGTATTAAGTCACAATATTCCTTTATTATCCAGTCAACATTTACCTCACCTTTTTGTTCAGTTACTATGATCACCTGTCAGTGTTTGTTTACTCATACATATAATCAATCTTCCCTAAAAAGATTATCTTCTGCAATGCTTTGTTTTACAGTTTCTATCTCCTTTCCTGGCAAACCTTTTGGGACGGTACTTGAGCATTAGTACTCCTCAAGGAGATCGTAAGTTTTAGGACACAGATGTCATCGATATTTACTTTTGTTAAGCAAAATCAAGACTTTTATTGAATAGTAAACTGTTCATTTGTATTTGAACTTCTTTTTATTTGATTGGTTGTAGTAAACTTAATTGTCAGGTATGTTTGTGTTTAGTGTATGGAATAGTAATTTTTCTCAAAGGAAATTGTTGCCGTGTGATTTCTTTTTGATCATATTTTTTGGGATGTAACTCAGTGATTAAGTATAGGTTATTATCATTGGGGCCTTCGGCTATACTTCCTATGTGAAGACTAGTGACACTACCTGGTTACTTGAACTAGACGTAGTAATGTTCAAACTTACATCTTAGTAGCAAGAAACCAATGATGTTAGTTTTCTGTTCAGATCCAAATTAGTGTTTTTATTAAACGGTCTTTAGATAGTTTTCAGTGTTTCTGCTATCATTTATCTGTCTTACGTCATCGAAACTAGGGAAAGATATTTTACTCACCTTCAATGGTAATGTTGTGTTCCCATCAATTTGAGAACCAATATTTTCACTTTTTACTGTAATCATTGCGTTATAATTTTTCAGGTTGGTGACAGATTATAGAGGTCAAAACGTCCAACGTTTGATCATTAGATCATAGATTTCATCCTTACTTCATCTACTTGGGCTTAGGTACCTTAGTGGTAAGCCTTTACATGGAGCGAAGTTTAGTCTAATGATCATTATATAAACCTGTTTCCGGGTACTAAGTTGCATGTAATTTGTGTTAAAAAGGCAATGCACAATTTCAACAATCCATAAAAACATATTCATCTTAGTTATGCAACGATTCAGTTCTTGATATACCAGTTGTTAATAATCAAATATACTTAACTATTAGTCTTCAGCTTATCTATCATATTCACCATTCTAGATGTTCTTTTTCACTTGATTTGTCTATTTTCTTCTTCTGTTTTATTACTAAGTCAGGGAGTGCTGCATATTTCCTTTCTGGAAGGAGTGAAGATTTGAGCTAACACACTGTTGTGTAAAATTTCACATCTTTTTTTATCTTGTAGGGTTAATCCACAGCTTGTAAATGATCACATCATTTATTCATATATGTCTTTTCTCAGTTTATTAATTCATCCTATTTGTTTGACTGTTATTATTTGTTTGGTGTAGTTATTTCCCTTCTCTTACCAAGTGTACATATTTCCTAACTTTATTCATTTAGCTCAACTTCACCCATACAAACTTAGTCAAGGAAATGTATATGAAGGAAATGTAAAAGCCTTTGAACTCGTTCAACATGTATATAGCTGTTTTTTCAGTGAATCTTCAGTTAAATTTCATCAGTTAAATAGTAAGTTTGTTGTCATTTGTAATCTTACCCATGGAGCTAATAAATCTTGATATTATCCAAATAAGTGTAGTCAGTATTCTGTTTGACTTTTTGTAGGTGATGTTTTTGTCTCGTTTCGAATTGGCTGATTGTTTTGTCGAGTTCTTGGTGCAGTACGTATTTCAATTTATATGTAGTACTCTGTTTTCAGTTAATTGCATAAAACTCTAGTGATACTAAAAAGAGTTACAAAGGCTCACTTAATCATGACAAATCCACAGTATTCCTAAACAGATCGATCAATGAATAACTCAGAGTATATGCATAGAAATACTAATACAATCTTACTAATTAAATCACTAACGTATGAAAAGTTTTACTAATTGAAGTTTTATTTAAAGCAATTATTCCCTTTGATAAATTTCGATAGTGTAATAAAAAGACGAAGATTATCAGAACTATGTGATATATTATTGCCATGATTAAAAATTAATGATTGATAGTAATTTGGGCGTTAACATCGATCTTTAAGTTTATCGAAGAGAATCAAACAAACACAGTGTAAAATTGCCCCCAAATGCCCTGGTATGGCCGAGAGTGGGGAGAGTCCGCTCTCCCTCTCGAAATACTCTCACATGGCCACGCGTATATAGCCTCTGCCAGGGAAGTCTTACTCACTGCCTTCTCGTGGCGGTGGTGTTGTTTACGAAAATGACAGGACGAAAAGCGAATGTACAGCGCTTTAACCGGATCCCAAACTAATGGTGCACATGGACTCCAGTATCCTGAACAAACAAATGGCGTATAAACCAATCGTTGGTCACCGGCTACCATGAGACTACATCTCCTTACGATGCTCCACTGCCTTGTGGATCAGACGTTCAGGTCAAAGGCTCGGGGTGTGGCCCCCTAAGAAAACCACCTGCTTCGGTTTGGGCACCCGGGCAGTATCACAGCCCTCACACAAATCAATTGAGATTCGTGTGGCGCATATGTATTTGGTGCCTCCTTGTACCAATACCTATGTGTTAAAATAAATAAAATAAAATAAATAGTGTAAAATTAGAGTTAATTCTTCACAGCTGATGTCAAACATCATAGATAATACTTATTATTATTTAGCCGTGACCAGTGAGCTAATCCGTGTCGGGTAGAGACAGGTATCTACCTCAGTACAATGGAAGATGGTCGCGCAATTTCGTGGATTGGTTGATGTTAGACACTAACACCATTGGATGCCGGCTCAGTGGTCGAGTAGGTTAAGCGTTCGCGCGCGACACTGAAGGCCCTGGGTTCGAATCCCGCGAGCGGGATCGTGGATGCGCACTGCTGAGGAGTCCCATACTAGGACGAAACGGCCGTCCAGTGCTTCCAGGTTTCCAACGGTGGTCTAAAATCAGTCGATTCATGATCTCAATCAATAGACACATAAGTATTGGTACAAGAGGGCACCAAATATATATGCGCCACAAAATCATTTTCATTTTAATTGTGTGTGGGTTGCGATACTGCCCGGGTGCCCATATCGAAGCATGTGGTTTTCTTAGGTGGCCACACCCGGAGTCTTCAACCTAAAGGTCTGATCCACAAGACAGTGGAGCATCGTAAGGAGATGCAGTCCCATGGTAGCCGGTTACCAATATTTGGTTCATACTCCATTTGTTCCTTTAGGATGCTGGAGCTCATGTGCACCATCGGTTTGGAATCAGGGTTTTCTAACTCCCCGAGGTAGATCCTTCATATCCACCAACTCGGTTAAAGCGCCGGTCATTCACTTTTCGTCTTCTCAATTTCATAAACAACACCCCCACCACGCGATGGCAGTGATAGATAGAATACATTTATCATTTTTCTATGGCACGTGTTAAATTGGTTTTTGATAGCTAAGTTGATTGTATGATGTACTCTTTTATTCTCAGTTCATATCTTGATATGGCTTATTATTTCTATTTATTTAGTTCCTCGTTTATTTGTCAATAATCAACTATTGACTCAAAACAGTTATCCACTTTTGGTCGGCCTCTTATACTGGATACGTAGTGTTTGTAAATATCGTTCCTCGTTGTCTCCGGAAAAGTTGAAAATTCATTCTCACTGTTTACCTTCTCAAAGTGTTGATGTAATTTGGTGTGGTTGTGTGAATTATTTACTTAGAATATCCAAATCAATTCAAGAGTCGCTAACATATAAGAAGGTATATTTGTTTTTGTATTCTGGATTTATATATATATATATATATATATATATATATATATATATATATATTGTAGCTTCATTCTTTTTTTTGTCATAAACACATCATCTTAGGGATCGACACGGTTTCATTTTCAAGAATCTGAATATTTAGATCATTTTAATTTAAAAATAACCGGTTTTAACCAGTATAACATGGAATACATACATAATTTAGAATATTTTCTTAAATTATATGACGGCCATTGAAAACATTACGAACCATTTATTCAAACGTTCATGTACTTTACCCTGCAAAGTATTCTCAGAATGAGCTAATTAAATATATTTTGACTGATATAAATATTTGAAAATAACCATGGCCTAGTATATATGTATATGTGGGTCTTCGTAATTTCCAACAAATCTTTTTATTTTAATTTCATTTTAATTGGTTGCCGTGATCTACATTATTCTTTATTTAAAAATAGGATTAATCGATTTATCCATAAATATAATCATGAGCGTTATAATTCTAGAAAAGTTATCTTGTAGGATGGACGTTTACTGTGTGTGGGTCATTTTGTATTATTATTCGTCTTTATGGTTATTGTTCTCATAACAATATTACCATTTGTATTTTATATGAAGGTTACTCCATTTCAATCCCCATCCCTCTCTGTGCGTGCTTCGAATTCGAACTCAACTATTTTAACCGTTTGGCAACATATTGTAACTGTAACTTGTGAATTAATCCAACCACACCATTTAATTACATCTTCTGATCTGGACACTATACAATATTGCCCGTCTCCATCGGAAAGCTTGGTTCGTAAAATGTTTTTTAAAATGCATTTTTCACAACTCTAAACGGTTTAGGTAACTAGAACTATTTACCTTACTCCATTTACTTTTAATTGCTTGACATTCAGATTGCTTCCTAACTAAAAGTTTTTCTTAAATTGAACAGTCTTTTTCTTCAGTGGCTGTTTTGCACACCAAAGTTATGGGAAATTATTTTTTCCTTGAGGAATTTCTGAATATACCGGATTAATGTCGATAGTCTCGTTAACTCGGAATAATGACCCCAAATCTAGAATTAAAACTTCCTCAGCCCGATAAAACGTAACCTTTCCTTTGATTGCTTATTTTCAATCTGGGTTGTTGAATTCGTAATCTTCAAACTCTACCATCGCAAATCAATAAAACGAAGTAGTAGCTAGGTCACATCTACGATTTTCATTTTCTAAAATCTATTTCTACTTTTCCAAATGAAATATTTTACTACTGTTATACGTCGGTATGGTCAATAGTTCAGTGTACTAGTCCGGTCTTTCCAAATGACCTATTTGTTATTGTAACACTAACAAACAAGTGTTTTATCCATGGCATTTCAGTTGAACATTTACGATAGGTAAGCCTAGTTATCACGTGAAGTAGGGAAATTCCAGGAGCTCGTTTAGATCAAGAACCTTTGGTTAAGTTTTTAAATGGAAATTAACTTAATTCAGTATAACTCTGTACACATGGACACTTATTGTTTTTAGGCTTTTAACTGTATTTGTTATGTAAACATTCAAAAATTCACTTTGTCACACTTCACATCAACAGATAACAAAAAAATCAGGAGAACAATTTAAAATCTTTTACGATGACAAATGTTAAAAACTGAGAAATTAATTACCTAAAATCAAACAGAAAAATAATATGTAATGTGGACTGATTTGTATTCAGTAGTCTATTTATTTATCCTTCGGTATTTTGAGAAAGAGGAGTAAATATGATCTCCTTAAATGTGATCATCAGTAGTTGTCTTGTGACTGGAAGTTGTGGAATTGCTTTCTATTACAATATGCTGGCTAATTACTGTTCAAGTAATCACCAGTGTTTTCATTCAGTTTGTTTTTTACGAAACTAATTACTTTTTTGATCTCATTGTGTTACCGTATATGACTATGTGATTTAATATCACTTCCTTATTAATTGTTTCTCATTAATTTGATAGTTCTCTTCATATCCGTTTTGTTTGTGTTTCTTAGAACATTATTCAGAACTTTATTCAGTTGCTAGAAGAATTTAAACTTCCAGACAAGGAAAAGGTGAGTTTTTGCATGTTAGTGTCATACATTTACAATTATAAATGGTTTTCATACTTTTATGAACTTGGTTATCATATATTCACTTGTTTTATTTAGTTGCTAATAAGCAATTGTGTTAGTCAGGATTGTTTTATGTTGATTTCTTGATATTTTTAGAAAAAATCGTGAAAATGCTAGTCAGTCAGCTACAACGTTAAGACCAGGCACTTATATGCGTCAGTCCAAGTTGCCACACCAAATCCGTAGAAGTAGTTACTTCAATGGTAGTAATATATAAAAGAAAGATTGTATATAAGGATATAATACAGGAAGAAAGAATTAGTTCGTAGAAAGAAAGGTACAAAGTAATTTCAATATCACAATTTAAGGGGAGATAACGAGTGTGTACACTTACGCCGTTGTGATCGATTCTGAGCCGTGTCACCCAGAGTCTCCAACCTCTGGGTACGATAGTCGCGCGGACTCCAATCAAGTAGTCTGCATCAGTGTTTAGTTCACTGTGAAGTTGTCTTTTAGTCTTTTATAACACATAACCTTTAGTCAATATGTTGCAGTCTTACGTTCCACTCTATTCATTGTTTTTACACAACTATATAGTACCACTAGATCTCCTGAAAAAAAAGCAACTCAAAGCCGACTATTTCAACTCATGTTCGGTAATGATAATTTACAACAATATAGTTATTTAAATATTTCTAACTTGGTTAACCTTTCGATTCTTGTGGCAAGTCTGTCCACTACAATTGTAGTTATTGTTCGTCGTGGAGTTTCGTTCTCTAAGCTGGATGATTTAGTCGTGAAGCTCTCATTAATTTTCTGAACAACATCATTAGCATGAACCTGAGACAGAAGTGAGATATTAAAATCTTTCCATTTGAAAGATGATGCCTACCTGTTCGACTTGATTGTGGAAATAGCTACGCTAAACTCGAATGAGATATATTTTGCCTTACAAGTTTATTGGTAAATTAATGGACTGAATTTCTATCATTTTCTCTTACGCATGTACACTGTTCTTCAATAGAGAAAGAATTGGCTGATGAAATCTCCTGTTCTGACAGTCCGGTTATTGAATTCCTCACGGATTATTCACTTAACCAAGGTCACAGCTATCAGTCTGTATACCTATAAGTGCACATTATTTTTATGTATATCCTTTCACCATTAGAAATCTTAGCTTCATAATTTGTTTTTTCTTATGTTTAGGTAAGTCAGTTAGTGATTGCGAGCGTGTAGTAATAGTTGATCTATATCATATTAAACTTTATGATTTATATTTGTTGAATTTTATTTGTTCGAAATAAATGTAATAGAGCTTCTAAATGTCATTTTGTGCATGCGCTCTACGTTTTTGTACATTTTCAGATTGATTTGATATCTTCTCTATGTGTAAAATCTGCGGAACTTGGGGGTTTTTGGCTAAAGGAAAATTCAACGCGTAAAACTTTTTGTGTCTCCCAGTTAGTTCTTATTTTTACTTGTCTTTATTGATGTATTTGTTTATGCAATTTTATTTTGTTGCTTTTAGTAATCATTACCATCAACGACCAGTAGTTCTTTCTAGTTTATTGTTTGAATGTATTGTAAAGAGTTTTGAAGGAGAAAGCAAATCGTACAGTTCCAAACGTGTCAAATCATAAGCCTTTCAAGATAGATTAAATACAACGATTAAAGCTTGTGTGAAATTCTCTTCTTAATTTCTATACGTCTTGTTGATTGATGGAAGGCTCATGTTAGTGATCAACCGTATTGTTTTACTACTGGTTCCAAGTAATGTATTATATATAAAATGGTACAAACTCCATTTAATAAAACTTTAAATTGATGGAGGTTATGTGAATACCCTCGAATCTCGATAAAATTTAAGTTTATCTAGGTGCATTTAATTACAGATTTTCGACTTATAACTGTTATCAAACAACTGATTCCCTTACATTAAACTGTAAATTTGTTATCTGTGTATATCATGGATGCTGCATACCAAAGCATCAAATCTCATAAAATGTCATCATCTTATTTTGACGCGTTTCATGATTCAAATGTTAAGTTTTTATCAAAATTTCAGAAATGATTTTCATCGTTGGGGTACTCAAATTATTCGTCTAATTGATATGGAACCTCGTTTAAACTTGTCTAATAAATCAATTACGATGCACATTTTACGTTTAACTGGAGAACAACATTTTCTCAATTTGATCCGCTTAATTTTAATTGGAATATTATCAGATTTTGTGGAGTTCATATCAAGCAATATTACCTCACAGTCAAGTTTTAACGATGATTCAACTCAACTTTCACTCTCAAATTGTAATTGTTTTCACTGTTTATTTACTAATTGAATAACGCTTTTTGTTCTAATTTTCTTAGGTTTAGTAATTTAGTTTTTAACGGAGTTTAAGCAGTTTTGTTTGAAACCAGTCAAATATATCATAACGCGTCGCTATGCGATATTATTATTTTACTTCGAATTTGTATGATTTGTTAATAATAACAAAGGAATTTCATCGTAGTATACAAACGATTACATTGACAAACTTGTATTAGCTTATGTAAGGTTATATGTTCGATGCAAAATTATTTACACTCAATCGTAAAAGTTCGGGAATTCCATTCTATAGCCATTGCGATATTTCAAATCTAATTTGTTTCGATTTCGATTCTCGTAATGCAGGTTTTTTTTTCCATACTCATTCAGTAGAGTTATGTATGTGATTCAAACGTACTACTGACCGGTTTTTAAGTAATATAATTCTGTTAACCTCTAGTTCTTATTTATTTCTGACATTAGGTCCACCAGTTCGTTTTTCTCCTGATGCCCTGCGTGTATGGTCGGTGTTGGTTGACCGATTAACTCTGTTCATTCTAGATGAACATCGAGTGTCTGAGAATCAGTCAGCCATAGATATCGATTTGAGTACTGTTGAATCTGCGCTGCTAATGCCATTCTGGTTGGCTGGAGCTTCACATCCAAACACAATCGATGGTAATCACGATAGTTCATCTGATACTTTCCAGGTATTTTGCTGTTTTGTTTTCGGTGTTCTGCATTGGATTGATATTTGAACAGTGATTTCGTAAATGTAATAACTTTTTAGTATATTTTCAAGATTAGTATCCCATATAGAGATAAGCTTGATAATAAAGTGATATCAATTGACTAGATACTGCTAATCAGGACACAACTGAGGATTATCTAACCACATTCTGTAAACGTCGTTCATTGTTGCTATATGATGTAATGGACCGTGTGTACCAGTGGTTAATAATAGTTAAAATTTCTTTTACATGTCATAGGTTTATTTATGCACCTGGAACTTTGTTTTGTATATTCAATGATGTATATCATTAAGAAATCCACAATCAAGATAAAAAACTTATTTGAAAAGGTTTAATTTACAACAGTTGTTTCACACTGAATTCGCTTGTTAGAAATCATCTTCATTTTAAAAATTATATGATTATTCGGATTAATTGTGCGGACATTTATGCAAAATTAAATGTCTATACTTGTAGCTGTTGTTCAAACAATTCCTAAACTTCACAAAATCACTATTTCTTCTGTGCAATATTGCAGTCATAATTTTTGCTTAGTTTAAGTTTGTCGATCTATATTCCGTAACAGAAAATATTGGGTTCTCTAAAAGAAAAATATTCATACTGATTATCCTCAATCTATAACATAAAGTATAGTTGAATGGATAAAATAACGTAACTTATTCATCGAATAAATATTTTTTGTCATTTTTCTTTATCTAAACTGCTAATAATACTAATTAGTATAGCGAATCGATGTAACTGAATTAAGTTTTCGATCTGAAACTCAATAATTAAAATTCTTGTGTTTCATCCATTAGAACGACCTTTCTATAACTAATAATGTAAATTATTAGACGGAAAGTCCATTGAGATGTGAAGGTTGTACAGTGAAATTGAAATAGCAGTAGAAACATTTCATTCGTTTAATAAAAGCATTCATTATTTGCTTAGCTTTATTATGTTTTAATTAAAAATAATTTGGTCCCACACATTTCCGTGCTCAGTGTTAAAGAACTTTAAATAAAACAATCTAGCCTGTATTCAGTAGTAGTTTGATCACAGAACTTGGTGCTTTAGTCGCGTTAATTAACGATGAATGCGTTCTTTGTACTACATTTTAATTTGGAATTAAGTATTTGAATTTGAATTTTTTTCTGACATGTTTTATCATCTAATTTTTTTCTTCATATTTTATCTAGTACCTTTCATTCAAAGATAGTTTGGCTATATCAATGCGCCAGTCTAATTTATTTTCAGCATTTCATCAGGAATGTTGTTTACTAACAACAGTTCCTACAAATGCTTGGATTAATCAACTATCTATCAAACTATCCACACTTATTTTAAGTTATGCACCCAAGGTACGTTTTCTATATAGGTCACTATGATTTTTATTACAAAACCATGTGTTGATTTGTAATTCAGGGTAAGTGCCGAAATCTTGTATTTTTCTTAAACTCAGTTGTTCGTCAATATTTTACAGAATAATAGATGACCTCATAAACTTTATGAGTTTTATTTCATCAGTCGGCTAACATCAAGTCAATAATGTTGTTCGATTTTATTTCCCCAGGCTTTTATTTTCGTTTCCATGGTAGCAATTCTACGTCGTACTTAAATGAAGAAAGACAAGTACATATGTACATTGTTTTTAAATGTCGAACCATAGAAAAAAAAATTGAAGTTGGTTTTCTGTGTTGTACAATAAAAATTATTCAAAACAGATTTAGTTGAACAAACCCTCCGTTATCTTCTATTTATATTTAAGCTAATTATTTTTTGTTCTAGTAAGGTGTGAATAGGAAATAGATGTACGCAAGTGGTATTCACTTAGTAGATTCTATTGTGGTGTGTTCTACTAATGTAGACATAAGTAGTATATGACGCGAGTTTTAAACGTAATGTCTGACAGCAGAAGATGAAGGAAGAGCGGGAACACAATGGAATTTGTTTGGAAACTCATGAACAATGAAAGAACAGACAATCGATTGATGTTTATAACAGGAACAGTCAAGTTGATGATGGATTGTTATTTTGCAAATTAACGATTCACTATATGGTTGTTAGATTTTAATAAGTAGTTCTGAAATTTGTTGTCAAATACATTCGATTGTCCCCCACTGGTGTTTTGTTCACTACACTATCACTCTGTATCGTGTTAAACTATATTAAATAGTGATGTTAAAGTCAAGAACTGAACTTTTAATAGTAGTAGGTATTAGTTTTTATCAGTCGTAATAGTTGCATACAACTTCAGTTAATTCAGATCTAACAGTCTTTCTACCTAGGATTATTTCATCGTCTTGTAAATAACCGTTCTCTTTATGGTTTAAACGAACGATCAATACCTTCAGTGTTTAATATTGTTTTGTTTAACCGTATTTACACCGGGTAGTTGATTCTAATGAGTGCCTAGCATGTCTAAACCCTATCTTTGTTAATCTAATTGCTTTTTTAACTTTCTACAATTCTTTTCGAAACTTAATGTTCATTATCACTCATGAGATAAATACTCCATAGTCATTAGTAATCATAATAGTTGAATGGAGATGGAGATATAATTTCTTCAAACTGAAGTGTTCTTCATACTAGACTATTTGTTTTTATTCAATACTCTGTGAACAAAATGTAGGAACAATATTATTGATTACATGTAAAAATCTCTGTTCAATTTATTGACATTTTGTCTTCTCATTGCACTATTTTAGTAACATATATTGCTCAAAAGAGATATGAACTAGTCAGTTATGAACGAAGAATTTTATTTTCAAGTTCTACAATTCTAAATCCAATTAGTAGCCAGTTTTAAGGCAAAATACATCGTTTAAAATTATAGTACATGAATTTAGAATTGTTTGTAATATGAAATAAAATTGTTAATGTTAAGATAACTAATATATACTACTAACTTGAATAAGCTTATACATTAAATGAAACTGCGAGATTAATGATCAGAATAAATATTGATAAGATAAAATGAGAGGAATATTAATTCAATTACAAATCCGATAAAATACTTAGTGGAAGGCAACGGCTTAATAAGAAGTTCTTTTTACTCTGAACGGCTACTGTTTCTGCAGTTTTCAGGACCTTGAGTCGGACCGACTTTTGCAAAAAATTAATTAATCAATAAATTTTTGAGAAAGATTAACTTATACTGGCTCTATGATCAGTGTATTTTACTCTAAACCTTGTCACTTTTTAGACAATTTGGATATATAATTGTAGGATCAGAAGAAAATTTATTTGAAAGAATACTTTTCGCTCATACATTTTTTATGTGATTGGGATTTTTAAACAGTTATTATTCTTTTGATCTAAGTGTTTAGTCCCCAATATCATACCCTTCAATCTTCAATTAAACCTAGTAAGGATTGTCGTTGTTTCATTCAGAATATAATAATTCCGTAAATTGTTAAAATTATGCTTTTAACTAATAATATTACATTGTCAGAGTTTTCAAGATTTACGACCTTTTTTTATAATTTCCTTTCATAGGTATTCGAAAGCATTAATTTGCATTTAATTAGCCGTTTTGTACATCGCTTAGCTCAAAGTGCAGAAATTTATGAAGAAAAGGGAAATCAGAAAGGTACGTTTAAGATCAATTATGATTTCCATTTTCTCATTATGCGTATTTATCTGACTTTACTCCATGATGCTGCAATGTTTTACTATTGAATATATTTCAGATACACACTATACATTTGCTTCTGTAAAAATTGATGATCAACCACTTGGTCAACTTACTGGATTAGTTAGCCTGCTTAATTCATTACTGTTATATATACCATGGCTTCACCCTCCAGCACAAACTGAAGTAAGTAAATAATTGATTGTGTCACTGCTTTTCTGAAGAATAAGAAGACAGGTATTGATCAAATATATATTCACTCTTGGTCAGATTTTAGAACATAAACATAGTTACTGACACCTGACTTTCGCTGTATTTGTTGACGCACATTTGTACCAAATCCTACTTTATTGATGACTGACTGGCCGACTTCTGAATTCTAATGTTATTGCAGTTCTTCAGTCTGTCAATTATAGAGAACGAGTGTGTTTCTACCCACATTACTACACTTCAAATCCGAAGTACCTCGGTAATATACAAATTATCAGATATATGGTATACTAGAAAACTGTTGATTGTAAGTTAGGTTTCGGTTACCTGTTGTTGTTCTGTTTTTTACCACACATATAATAGTTGCCTATTTTCTCACCTCATATTTTTATATATTACCCAGAAAAGGGTATTACGTGTGTTCTGAAATATTTTCTGTCTAATGTTGAATAATCGACTGTTTAGTTATGTGCATTATTTAACGAATCTCCATTATGCCCACTCGTTAAGAAGCACTTTAGTTTGTCATTGAGAGGCAAGTTTTTTCGAGTGCGAATCAAAAATACTCAAAGTTTAAATATATTTTCGAGAAAATGTGTACTGTGATATGACCTATATTTTTATACATAATTGTATTCTGTATTGTTGCACTGTCATACCTAATCGCTTATGTGATTTTTCGCGATCTTTTATCGTTAATACATTATTATTTGTTGATGTGTTGTTACTATTGTTATCATCTGATTTGTGATACCAAAGTAAGGCATGTTTTCAGTTTACTGAATGTTCCCACTTTGATACTTAGTAAAGTGAAGGAGTAGAGCGAAGAAATTTCTTTTCGATTAGTTTTTCACCATGGCATTTGTATGATTTACAACAGTGAAATAATACTCATTGAACAGTTGTGTTATGTAATAATTATATTATTATCACTGTGACATATCATTATTACACAGCGCAGCTACTCTATGAATAATCTTTTCAGTTGACGCAATTATATTCAGTTTGTAATGATATAAAGTTATCTATTTTTAGTCCACATAGACATATTTGTACCTCATCAGAATTTAAAAATTAATACACGTTTTTATTCACAGAATGATGATTCACCTCCCTGTTATCTAAGTGCCCAGGAATCAACTACTCAGTGGTTGACATCTCCTCCCGTTATGTCCATTCGTAATCGAACAAATCAGTTGGTTAATGAGAAGTCTGTAAATGGCGTTCATTCCATAAATCGATCTGCAAATAGTAATCAGGTCTCTTATGGTTTACTTGATGCTTTAGAGACAGTTGTATTCCTTCTTAATGTGAGTCATATATATATATATATATATATATATATATATATATATATATAATTTATATCTCCGAACGATGATACACGGCTTCAACTGCCTGAAAAATTTATCAATTAGAAATAATTTAAAACAAATTAACCTTCATTTTTATATGACTCATAAACGGGTATTATCAGCATGGAGCCTGGTTATCAATATTTGGTTCATACTCCATTTGTTCCCTTAGTATACTGGATCCCATGTGCACCATTGGTTTGGGATCCGGTTAAAGCGCCGGACATTCGCTTTCGCTTTTCGTCCTCTCATTTTCGTAAACAACACCACCGACACGAGAAGGCAGTGAGTAAGACTTCCCTGGCAGAGGCTGTATACGCGTGGCCATGTGAGAGCATTTCGAGAGGGAGGGCGAACCCACCCCACTCTCGGCCATACCAAGGCATTTGGAACTTAATACAGATTTGTATTGGCCCAAGTTACCGTACCAGACTAAAACAACAACGAAACGAGAATGACAAACGAGTTTGAATTAACGTATTAACAGAGATATAAAAGAAAACCAAACCTTGGAAATATGGTTTGAAAAGACAGAGTGGAAAAGTATAAACAGAGGGATGCTGAAATTCAAGGTCGATAAGAAGTGAAAGAGTAAAATCATCTATGTTGAACTAAAGAAAAACTTTCGTTTTTAACCAATGAAAATGTTTGTTGATAGATTAGCTAGATGAAATCTAAGAATAATCTTTACGGGTATCCAAATTAAAGCATTTCAACATAGAAGTTGGAGTTTATCAAACTTAGCTATATCAATCAAGAGTTTATGGTAAACTAAACTAACGTTTTACTGCATTTTATATTAATATTAACTATTGTTATTTTTGTTATTATTAACAATTTAGAATCATCTTCATGGCACAGATTCTGTTTTGTCAATGTTTTCTAAGCTGGAGTCGAGTTTAACTCGTTTGGTTCACTGTTGTGTAAAAGCCGAAAAAGCTGTTATTGAAGCGGGAACAGATCTAGATGAACCACTTTTAATTACTCAACACAGACAACATGCTAAATTAGCAGTAAGTCAGCATTAATGACCTTTATTTTTATCTAGTATAATATGACCAAAAATCAAATTTCATACTGTTCAATCAAAATAATATCTTTAATTATTCAAGCCGATTAAAAATAATAAATGTATACTCCAGTGGTATAATATAGTCTTTATATTTAAATATAATAATGACGATAAAAGTATCAATGATTCCTATCGTCCATCACACGTCAATTAAAGAGTTATAATTCTTTCATAGACGTATCTGATATTAATTGTCCAAAGCTCAATAGGTTTGTTGGTATGAAAATCGTTGGTTAAAAGTCGATTGTTCAAAACCTAGTGAATACTTTAAAAAAACTTATGAACTTTATATCATTATCATTCAGTAGTTTTATACTTGAATAATTCGTTGTGTTACTGTATATAACTGTGAATATATATTTCCATTTTAATTGGGATTTTTAATATTCTCAGCTGGAGGAAGTATTCATATGCATTTGGAAACAGATGAAAGTTGTTCCTCCCAATGTATCCATCAATAATCCACTGTCCATGTTGCATACAATCCCCAATATACAAGATCTCAAAACACCGGCTACCACTCCCGTATTTAATTCGGAAATATCTGATTCCATTCATCCGATTGCTCAATATGAAGCTATACTCAGCTTATCACTCACACTGTGTGGTTACAATGTGGAATCGAATCAAGAATCTTGTGAATGTGGTAAATATATATATAATCCCTTTTATTTTTTGTACTTGAGTTTTACTAGTAATTAGTTAAGAGGCTCACTTTCCGTTTAGGCAACACTATTTAGTTTTTGATGGAGTTTTGTTCTCTGAGCTGGATGGTTTGGTCACGACCAAACCATCCAGCTCAGAGAACAAAACTCCATCAAAATCATCCACCTGAGCTACAAATCTTCTCCACACTATTTAGTAATAATTAAGAGAAAGGAAGCGCTACATGCTGGTTTTGTCTTACTTTCCTTCTCAAACTCGTTTTGTATATGACCGATAAGACAACGCTTATAATATTTACTTTAGTATTATGTTTTTCTTAAAAGTCCGTTGACTGTGAATTTCCTGAATCCAACCATTGTGTATTATAGTGGGGGTATCCTCTATGTTTATCGACGAATATGGAATTTAGATTATGAAAATTTTATAATAGTTGCATCTTAATCTAGGTCTTCGGGGGGGGGAATAAATTATGTTCCTGAAGTGTTTTTGTTGTAAAACCAACAGTTTCAGGAAAAAAAAGCATTTGGCCGCCATAGAATTCTCTATGCCTTACAAAATCATCTGGAAATATGCTTAAGAACTACCAGAAACAAAATTATTCTAGGGAAACACTTCACTTTATACTAAGACCTTAGAAAATGTCATTTAGAATGAAACTGAATCTACCATCTAAGCGGTATGAAAAACCTATATATTCCCATTTCTTAAGATTTATCACAGTCTGTCGCGTCCACAAGTTGAGAGTATTTTGAATAAATGCTTCAATGTGTGCTAGATTGAATACATTCTTCTTTTCGTCACTCATAGAAAATAGGCTCCCTAATACTTGAACATTCTCTCGGAAAGTTAGCTTCTTGGGTCAACTTACATATATAGACAAACTTTCTCATGTATGTACTAAACTGTGTTGGAATTTTTCGACAAAGGTTTATCTTTCTGGAACCGAAAATCTTATCATTTCTTCACTGAAGAAATGTTATATCAGGTATTCTTTTGCCTTTTACTAAACAATTAGTAAGTACTGAGAGTTACTGTGTCTAGTCCTTAGTTTCGGTTGAGTTTTGCCCATCAAACTGCAATGTAATTATTAAGATAGGTTAAAAATAACTCAAAATTACAGTTCATTTTATCTTAACACTAGTTTATTAGCAGAATACTCTGTACCTAGATGTCGTACACGTTAACCTTTATATCTCTACCAATCCGATTTCTTCTTAGCTTATATATGAGATTATCTATTATAGAAAATTAAGACTTTCAGTTTTTGCTTCTGCATACTATAGGTGAACTAAAAACAATCATAATATAGTGGTTGGATGTAGTCAACAGGAAACCCTGGACCAGGGTTTCGTGCTACTTGGTACTCGTCAGCAATGTGTTCCTGTAATATTGAGTGCGCGCAGTGTCGGGTCACCTAGATTGGTGGCCATATTGCAACTTTGTCGATAGCATTCGATGTGCACTAAGAAGGACTTGACTCACATGGCATTGATTACCACCCAGTGATCAATCAATTGTAAAAAAGATCATTTATTGTAGACTTCAATAGTAATAATTATAACCTAAATTGTTTTCTTGATTTATTATTTATTAACTTCTCGCTGCAGTAGAAGCTGAGATGTTTTTTGATGGACTTATGATTGAGTGTTCCATATTTCCTTTTGTTTTACAGCAATTCAATTGTCTGTTACTTTCATGAATTGGTTCATCGGTTTTTGGAATTATTTAGTCGACCAGTATTGTGTAAAACAAACTAAAAGTAATTCATCAAAATTATTAAATTTTCGAAACTTTTTAATTAATTTGGAACCTGAATTTCAAAAAATTATTAAACGAACATTAAATCCAAATATTCAACAATTGGCTGACTTAAATCCTGATGAAAAGAATACCTCCAGGCGTAAATCTATTCCTCGCAAAACGCCCAAGTCGGAACCAACTAAACGTCTGTCTCGTTTATCAAAAAGATTGTCCTCCTCTTCTTCCCAATCGCCAGTAATTTCTAATAATCTGAAGTTGAAAATAGAAGAGAACTCTCCTATTGATTCTTTGGTAACCACTTCAGGTTCTGATAAAAAGTTATCTTTTGCTAAAGATAAATTTAAACTGGAGGTAACTTAATTAATTAATTTTTATAAAAAGATATGCATTTTCTAATATTCATTTTGTATTGGTTGTTTGAATTCTTCCATTGGTATTTAGGACTAATTAATCAGTCTCTTTGGCACATATGCATCCTGTGCAGATTTCCTCGGCATTGCCTTAAGTCACAAACATAGGCAAAGATGGATGGTGGCTAGCAGTGGAATCCAGGACGCGCGTTTCGTCCGACTTAGGGCTCGTCAGATGGATGTGCCTGAATCCCAAAATTTATGTTCACTCCAAGATTCAAACTCATTGCCGTTCGCTTCAAATGCCATCACGTTATCCACTTAACTACTAAGTCCTGATAGCCACTAGCTTGTATAACGGGTTGAAGTTTAATTCGTCTTTGTATTGGCTACTTGAATCTTCCCATCGATATTTAGGACTGCAATTGATCATTTTCTTAATATGTTTATCGGTTGTACTAATTCATTTTAAATAAGTATCATAGATCATACATACAATGTTAGAGAATTATGGAAATCTTGAAAAGTTTGTAGAAAGGATCAATTTACTGAACTAATGTTAACAACAAGTAACCATTTTTATAGTTTGCTCATAATTACATGAAAGAATATAAGTGTGTTTTAAACAATTTTCGGTCTTAACATCGTTTACTTTAGTATTATTTATGTGTTTTATCTGTCCATCACATTAACAATCGGTAATTTATTAAGATTTTCTAAAGAAGAAATGATTTTATGTTGCATTTTTCACTCAGAAGTCCCGGAAATCAAATACAATTGTGGGTGACTTGTTCTCTGATATTCGTGTTTCACAGAATAAGAATGATCCTCAAAAACTTTCACATAACCCTTCTATTCGACCACGTCGAGGGCGCCTTTCATTAGTAAAAGTTAATAGTCCAATTGAAAAAATAGTTACACCTGTTCGACGATCATGTAAGTGTTATTTGTTTATTATTACCGAACTAAGTTCCTAAATTATTACTTTTTACGTAGTTGAAAGCTATAGTTCTTTGAACGGAAAATGATCTTGGTATTAAAACATAAAAAAATGTTCTGTGGTGAATAGTTTATGCTTGTTTATTTCTACGTTTATGCCACTAACCGAAATGATATAAAATATTTTTCCTATGATTACTGTTTAACATGAAATTACTGTTCATCGCCGAGTTACATCAAGAATAATTTTGAACTCATTCGTGGGATTTCAACAAAGTCGATTAAAATTATTGTCAATTACTTCATCATGATCTTTTTTATCTCCTATTTCCATGTGAGATTAACTAACAAACAGAAGTTATAGAGTGGAGAATATGAACATTCTTAATCCATTAACTACTAGAGCTCTTATTTAATATCATGATGAACAGTCTACTTATGGAAAATATTCTCTTCTCTCCGATTAACAAATAACTCGCATTATTATTATTATTATTACTATTGTTATTATTATTATTATTATTATTATTATTATTATTATTATTATTTACTACGTCATTTATTCACTCCCTTTTATTCCTACTCTGTCTATTATTGGCGGCCTGCTTGAATATCTGGGCTACCTGTTTCTGCCATAAATAAATAAAATAAAAATAAAAAATCCTTATTTTTCGACTTATACAACAGCTCGCCTATGGTGGACATTCGGCTCTATCTAAACGTTCTTGTGTCACTGCCTGGTTGAAAATTGTATGTTACCATCGAATACGAGTACTGAAGCAGTTCTTCTGAAACCACTCGCACCATTCAAACTGGCTGTCTTTAACGTTCGCACACTTATGCAGGTCGGACAACAGATAGGGCTGGCTATGTCTTTGGAAAATCTTAATATTGACGTTTGTTGTCTATCCGAGACCCGTATTCAAGACTCTGGTGAAGTACTACAAGTTCGCTCTCTATCTGTCACTTCAAAAAGCTTGTATTACGTGCGTTTATCCGGGGACCCTGTGGCATCTTCGTCTGGTCTTGCTGGCGTTGGTGTCGCACTAAGCGCAAGAGCTGAGGCAGCACTAGTCGACTGGATCCCCATTAACAGTCGGTTATGTGCTGTTAGATTAGAAAGTTCCATCAAAGTGAGAAGAGATCAGCGTGAGAAACGATGTCTTTTCGTCATCTCCGCCTATGCCCCGACAGATTGCAGCCCGGATGCAATCAAGGATGAATTCTAACACCAGTTATCTGTTCTTCTCCAGAAAGTGCGTTCGACAGATATTGTAGTACTAGCCGGAGACTTGAATGCTCAGGTCGGGCGTCTAGGCACAGAAGAGAGTCGTTTAGGTGGCCGATGGGGACTTGTTGGTCGCAGGACAGATAACGGGGGACGTCTGTTGCAACTATGCACAGACCACAACCTGTTTCTGGCTAGCAATAACTTTCGGCACAGTCATCGCCGATGTGCCAACTGGCGTCTTCCCTCTGCATCTCAAGCCTTGACTCAGATTGATCACATCGCGATCAGTTACCGTTGGCGTGGTTGTGTACAAGACTGCCACTCCTTTTGGAGTACCTATCTGGAATCTGATCATGCCCTGGTCTGCGCCAATCTTACCTTACTTTTCAGTGGACAACGAAGTGATCGCAACCAAAGGATTGATGTTAGCAAGCTGGCTGCAACTTCTGTTGCTAGTATGTACCGAACCGAGCTAGCTTCTAGGCTAGCTACCATTCCACCGAAAAGTATAGATGAGCATTGGTTGCAATTGCATGACGCCATGAAAATGGCAGGTCAAGTCTGTTGTGGGTTCGCGAAACGTCCCGCTTACAAGCACTGGGTTTCTCCTGGTTCCTTACAACTGATTGAAGCCCGTCGGTCTACTCCGGGTGACCGTGAGTTTGACCACAGACGAAGGATGTTACGTAATGAAATCGGGCAAAGCTTACGTAAGGACCGAGAAGCCTGGTGGTCGGAGCGTGCCAGTGAGTTGGAAGCAGCAGCTGCATCTGGTAATTACCGGAAGCTCTTCCAACTCATCCGAGCCACTGGCAGCAAGAAGTCTGGTGTGAGCGAAACAATCTGTGAGGATGACGGGATGCCAATCATGAACATCCAACGACGTCTTGGACGATGGGCAGAATTTTTTGAAGGGCAGTTCAACTGGCCTGCTACTCCGGCAACATCGATCAGACTGTCCTGCCCTCCATGGCCGGTGACGACTGATCCACCAAATGAGGCGGGAGTCCGCAAGGAACTCCAACTCTTGAAACGTCACAAATCACCGGGCCCAGACGACTTACCTCCGGCTCTTTGTAAAGATGGTGGTGACTTTCTGACTAAGGAACTGACGACATTGCTTGCAAAGGTCTGGGAACTAGAGAGTGTACCAACGTCATGGAATGAGTCGATAGTTGTCCCTATCTTTTAAAAGGGTTCACGTCGTTCCTGTAACAACTATCGGGGGATAAGTCTACTTCCGATTGTGTCCAAGCTATTGGCTTCCGTTATACTTCGTAGGTTGTTCAAAACCCGTGAAAGATTGACTCGCGAGGAGCAGGCTGGGTTTCGTTCCGGTCGAGGATGTATTGATCATATCTTCACCCTCCGCCAAATGTTAGAAAACCGTCATATTTTTCAGAGGCCAACAATCGTAGTGTTTCTCGACATCAGGGTTGCCTTCGATTCGTTGGACAGGACTGTTCCCTGGGAGTGTCTATTGAAGAAGGGTGTGCCTGAGATGTTTAATAACATCCTAAAAGCCCTATACACAAACACCTCATACAGAGTGAGGGCATACAACCACCTTTCTTCACTATTCCATTCGAGCAGTGGGGTTAGGCAGGGTTGCCCAATCTCACTATTCCTCTTCAACTTTGCCATCGATGACATTCTGGAAACAGCTCTGACGGATGTAAGTAATGGTTGTGTGGATCTGTTGCCTGGAGAAAGACTTCTCGACCTTGAGTATGCGGATGATATTGTCTTACTGTGCGAGACTGTCCAAGCTATGCAATCCGCACTTAATCAGTCGGCAATCAGTGTCCGTAGATATGGTATGTGCTTTGCACCTTCGAAGTGCAAAGTACTTCTACAAGACTGGTAGGATTCTAATCCTGTACTCACTGTGGATGGTGAGCAGATAGAAGTAGTCGCTGGTGGTGGTGTGAGTGATGAGATCAATACAGGTATAGTGAAAGCCAGAGCGGCTTATGCCAATCTGAGGCATCTTTGGCACCTTCGTGATGTTAGTCTGGCTGTAAAAGGTCGGATCTACAACGTGTCGGTGAGAGCAGTTTTGCTCTATGCTTGTGAAACCTGGCCTCTCCGAGTTGAGGATGTTAGACGACTCTTTGTTTGATCGACGTTGTCTCCGAAGGATTGCTGACATCCAGTGGCAACACCATGTTAGTAATGCAGAAGTTCGGCATCGTATGTTCGGGCATAGGGACGATAATTCCATTGGTGTCACCATCTTGAAACATCGACTTCTGTGGCTTGGACATGTTCTACGAATGTCGTCCCAGAGAATTCCACGTCGTGCATTATTTGCCGACGCTGGGACTGGTTGGAAAAAGCGGAGAGGTGGTCAGTTTATAACATGGTGTCGTGGTATGAAAGAAAGCTGCAAAGGGCTGTCTTGTGTTGGTCGTTCACGACTCCCTGGCTGGGGTCTGAGAGATGGTGTAACACAGTGGCTAGAGACGTTATCAGATATGGCTCAGAATAGAAGCCAATGGCGATCCTGCCGTACCCTTCTTTTACTTCCTTCATAAAAAGTGGTTGCTTCTTCCTTAACTTAAGGAATTCTTCTGATTGTACCTTTCCGTTTCCCCGATTATTGTTCTCTCTTTTTTTATAATTCCCCACGTTCATTACTTTTTTTTCTTTTTTTTCTTCACTTCAAATTCTCATTGTTTTGTGTGGCGCATATATATTTGGTGCCTCCTTGTACCAATATTTATGTGTTCAAATAAATAAATTAATTAATTAATATCATTCTTACCCCTTTACTTATAGAACTGTTGAATATTTTTGAAGAGTGAAAATCTTTTTGCTTATCAAGAAATTTTAGGTATTCAATGGTTTAGTTCTTTGGTTAGTCTTTGTTGAAAAATCAAACATTTTTTTATACTAAAGTAATTCATAATCATACTTATTGTTATCTATCGTTAATAAACCAGTAATCAATATATTACAAGGTTATGAATTTCCTTATAAGCTTAAACTCCAATACAAGTTTATTTATTTTCTAGTGACTAAAGTGTCAATAAACTATGAAGCTAATTATCTTTTTACAGATATTTTTTTGTTTAAAATAGGTAAACCGTTATTAAACTTCTGAAATATTATCTTCTATCCTCATCTAGTTGAACAAACAGAAAATATTACTCAATCAGCTCCATCTAATTCCTCATCTAGGCGTAGTCGTGGTAGAAAAGGTGTTAATCTTTTTCCTGCCTCTCCTAAACCATCACCTACAAATGGTATTATTGCTGAAGCTTTTGGAATTCCATCTGGTACAAGTCTTATAAATGATGAAAACGATAATCATAATTGGTCTCCTACAGCGACATCTCCTGGTCCACTTCCGTGTCGTCCATTGGTTAAACGCCGCTTATTCGGTGGACCACAGGAAATGCCAGTGACAGAAAGTAAATCAAGCAATTATAATCAGTTGTCATTACAACCAACAAGGAAACGACATTTCTCTGACTCGGAACGAAATACCACTAATTCTTCTAAGGTTGTAACTATTTCAACTTGTTGTGAAGATACTTGTGATGTAAGTTGGATAAAATAATTTGTCAGTTTGGCGTTATCGTGATTTATTTCATTTCAGTATTATTCAACCCACAATTCACATAATTTACTTCATTATTGCATAGATGGATACGTCAGGTAATTATTGAAATATCTCGTTTCTTTTCTATTGACATTTTATTGGGGCTCTTACAAAATCGTGCAATCCGCATGAGGATTGCTTTTCCTGGGTAATTAGTATTATTTTGCTTTGAATTTGCTTTTCCAAGCTATGTGTTATAGAGTGATCACTAACTAGATTTAGCGAAGTAAAACTCGATTTTTATTCACATTCTAGCGGCAAAAATATACTCGATCTTAGCTTAAAGAAATCGACATCGGTTTCTCGAAAAATACTCAGCTGTATATAATTCCGTGTACTTTTATTCCTTGTAAATTGGTTTTCTAGTGATTTCTATGTAAAAAGCGTTCACAATATGTTGCCCAAACTGTATTCTTTCTTCTGTGCTGATTTCTCTCTTTCTCAAAATTTATCTTCTCTAGTTTATTTTCATCCCACCTCAATCAGAAAGTGTGAAGAAACGACGTCGCTGTTTAACTACTCATCAGAAGGAACGTTTCAAAGAGCAATTGTAAGGTTTATTTATTCTTAATATTATTTGTAATCTAGTTTTCCAAAACCTTCTGAACAAAATAGTGATTAATGTTAAGTTTTTATGAAGTAGGATTCTATGAATGGGTTTTTGATTGTTAGATAGATGATAGATGATGATATGCAGTGATGTGAAGTGGCCGAATTATGGCTGTTCATGAGACCTAATTATTGATGTTATACCTCAAATGAAACTGATATTAGAAGACAAGACTATTATCCAAGAGATACGTTTTTTCTTGAACAAAATAATATGATTAAATGTCATAGACGATTAAAGGAAATCAGTTTCGTAATTCACTTACTCTCAGTTAAATTGAACTATAATGTTAAGCCTGATCCTTGAGCTAATCATATCTGAGACTTAGAGTTTCCATCATCTTGCTATCAAAGGAGATGTTGCGGGGTTGAAACCTATGATCTATTGGTAGAAAGTAAATTCGATTAGATATTAAATGGTATTTTACTATATATGTATGACATCTTAAGTTAATAAGATACATTGTATTGTATGTTGTTTTCCAAAATTAACAGAGCTGCTATTCATTCTAGCGGTTTTTGATCGTAATGTATGTATATGACCTATTATGAATACAGTGGTCTTAAGTGCTTTTGGAAGTATGAGGGCGGTTATCACTTCCCAGTTGCCCACACCGTGGAATGGTTCTTCTGGAGGTACCTGAAAAGGAAGTTGGGTTAGAGGTAGTCTTAGTGACCTGAGAGTGTGACCGCAGTGCCGAGGGGACAACTGTTTGAGGTCGGTCACACACGACCTTTTTATGAGTAATTTTCGTGTTAGCTCTGTATTGTTGAGACCCTACCGCTGGAGACGGATATCCGTGGGATAAGGTGAGATGTGCATTTTTAGGATCGACCTTTCCTAACCCCACTCCTTCTTGTGGAAAGGCAACATCACTGTTATACTGGTTGTCTAAAGGAAACGCCTTACTGCCCACACACTTCTTTCAAGTCAGCACTATGACTTCACTCTCGGACCTTGGGTTTGCTGCTTTTAGTCTTACGGTTCTTCAACCGGTCTGTCTGGTATAGTAGGACCTTGTGGAATGATTGTTTCAGCCAGTACAGGCAAGCCCGACCACCACCTCAAGGTAGCATCAACGGTCGGGATATGGCCTATTAAATTAATCCAATATTTGTTGGCTAATAGTAAAATTGAATACATCTTAAATCATTTTCATCAAACATATATAATCATATTCGAATGGATCACAAACTGATTTTATGCCAACACTTAAAACCTGAAGGCACTAAACGTCCACCCCATCCTAGTATGGTACTTGTTAGCGATGGGCATACATGACTCCGCACTCAGACATTGAACCCATGACAAATTTCTAAACTACAGCCTGGATTCAATGGTGTTGATGACTAACCGTAATCTATTCACAAAATTGTACGGCCAACTTCCCTTACCTGTGGCAAATAAAACTGTCTCACTTCTGATGAGTTCATGATTTAAAAAACGTGGAAAGTTCATAATCTGTACTAAACTCTTTACTGATTCAACTAAACTTTTTAAACAATGTATAATTTTTTTATTATTCAGTGTTCCAATTGTAAATATATATTGTTGATTGAGTGTAATGCTTTTATCTATATTCATAGATTCAGTTTTATTACTAAGATTTATTTCGATTTACCACAAAACTTGAATTTCTTTCTTTGAGATTTTAACATAACTTGTTATCGTCAGCATTCTTTCCCCTGTCTAATATTTCGCCTACTGGAAACATTATTTATTTACTAGAAGAGAATATATACCTACTATGTACAATGAATTAGATATTAGTCAACAATCATGGTCTTCCTTAAGTGGTGGGGGCGGTGGTAGTGAATCTCAGTCTCAACTTGAATTTAGTCTTCAATCATCTGTCAACAAAGATTGTCAAGAAGTCTCTGAAACACTGGAACCACTGGATTCTCATGCAAAACCGAATGTAACAGAGGAGGATTTGAACATCAAAAACAACCAGACCGAAAATATTACTGTTAAGACTTCTACTAGTTCACTTTGCATGGAATCCGAATACATACCTACCAAGTAAGTATATATCTTTTTCCAGCGAAAAAAACTAAACTCATTATAGCATTGTGTTCTTTGAGCACAATAGTTTGAGAGTGGAGCTTTCATTCGTTTTGAACAACATTATCGATGCTTCTTTTTTCATGTAGAGAACACAGCGCCTGAACTGCAAATCTTCATCATTTCAACGTTAAACTCTTGTTTAGTTCACAGTATAATAAGTTTCATATATTAAGTCATATTAGCCTCTACATTGGCAATTAATTAATGTCTAGTAATGAATTTATTTCTCCATATGGAGCCCGTATTTAACCATTCTCAAACAGAACAGTTGGCTGTTGCTTTTTGTAGAGTCATACTCGCAGATCAATATCACTACTAATAATTCAATTGGTTTTTTAAAGATTTTTCAAGACTGAGTAAAATCACACTTCTAATAGTTACAAATGTGTATTAATATACCATTCAAGAAAAAAGTTGAGTGTCTTCGTGTGATTAAATTTATCAAACATGAAATTACCATTTAAGGAATGTCCTTCCAGCAAATTTAATAACAAATCATAACTAATCTTTTCTTACTAGTAATAATTCGACAAAATGTTCAGAATATTCCCTTGATGTTGGTTAATACTTCACTTCTGTGAAATTCAATTCGATTTTAGAAAAAAAATTGATTTAAAACTCAAATCCATCTCGTTTCCAATACCTAACTATCAAAATTTACATCTGTTCACTTTATTGAAACACTTGCATTTTTCATTGTACCATTTTATCTATTAATATATGATAACCAAATAAACTTCTAAGCGTTTATATGTTCTTTTAATTATTGTTGGTCATGTTTGTCCAAAACATATAAATTTAATTTATTTATTCTCTATTGTATTATTTTTGTTGTGCAAAGTTTTTCTAATGTCAATGTACATATTACTACTTCGTTTCAGTTCATCTAAGTTTTAGTATTGTTTGCTTTATTTTTATTATATAAAAGAGACAGTTTATTATCATTTTAAATGAATAGTTTTTTTCTCTCTCTACTTTTATTCTATTTTAAACCTTAAATTTTTAGAATTGTTCTTTATTTGTTTAGAACAGAAACCTATTCAAGGTAACACAGAAACATCAGAAGATCTATAAGTTATATACTCTTTGTTATTGATTTCAGTTAATTATCTTAGTCGTTAATGATAATGTTCAAAAAATGTGTTACTTGATGGAACTTCATTAGTTTAAGAGAAAAAGGACATTATCTAGAACAAGTTTTATAAAATAGATAAATTCTAGTTAGTAATATAGTCCAGAATATTCATTTCGACTTATTTTGGACTTGGCAGCTGGGATTGTACCTTAATCCTAGTGTCAATTTTCCTATTTTACACTCGAAACACAGTACCTATCGCTCTAAACACTAATGTGCATATGACAACAAAGTCTGATCAAAGTTCAGTTTTGATTATCAATAATGGGTTTATTCTAATCCTTGCTAATCCTTACATAATATAATAAAGAATAAAAGGAAATAGCAATCCTTCTAACTTTATGTATACAATGTTGTAAATAGTTGTAAGATAGGTAACAGTAATCCAGAGCTGTGTTTATTCAATGATAAATATATCGATCCGCTTTCAGTGAATTATGATCTATATATGAAATCAGTATTTCATGTTTCTGAAAATTTTCGTCGTAGAAATTCACATTTCGCCTTTTTTTGATTTTTTTTAAAAATAATTAGAATTGTTCTATCTCCATCGATTGATTCTCTCTCTGAGAAAGAATCTGTAAGTCCATATTGGTGATTTTGGTTATAATTAATATTTCATTATAAAATCATTACGTTAAGCAACTACTCGAGTATTATTTCATTGTTGTAAATCATTTATATTAGTCTAAAGCCATAATGAAAAAACTAATTGGAAAGGAACTTCTTCTCTTGATTCCTTCTTGATTTTAGTTTTATCAGATTTCGTATGCATCCATGCATACAAGCACACATTATTTTTAGGTCGTCAATGCTATTCTCAATAGACATAACTCTGTTTTGAATAAAGAATTTCTTTACAGTCAATTTATTTGTTAAAAAATGGTTTCATCGCTAATATATCTAATTTTATTCACCTACAACATTACAATGTAGTTGACGGTGCTTTCAAGACTGACAATATTATGATCAAAGCTCTTTTTTCAATCATTTCGATTTCAAGTTTAGCAGTCGATTGTTGTATTAACCTAGCCCCTCACTTATGAAAGTGTAGTGCAGATTTGGATACACAAATATCAACTTAGTTGTTGATTTGAATTTATTGATACAGTTTTTTCAGCTAGATGAATGAGTTGGTTATATCTAATGACTACTTGTTACACAAGATAACATTTGATCTGTCTTCTTGTACCTCTTACAGATCATATTTACACAATTGCTTAAACTTTGAATGGTTAACGAAAATATAAATATTCACAAAAATTTCTTTATTAAGGTCTCCTTCAGAATTTCGGGTTTTAAAGTGGAATAACACAGTAATTTCAGAGTTTTAGTGTAGAAATAATGATTTATGCTACTAGCTATTCACAGCCTACACTAGCTTCCTCGCGAAGATTGTACGTAGGATTTCGTATTTCACTTCGTTTGAAATAATTGACATTGTACACTCTACCGTCAATTTTCTTCTGCCTCTTCATTCAGAATATGACTGTTCTTCCTCCACGAAACAACGTTTGATCTTTATACTGCAATGTTATGAATAGTTCGACTGCTAATCTACGTTATCTATACATAACTCACACATTATTTGTAAGCATTGTGGCACATTTGCATACACAGAACTTATAGTATTCGCCTGATGGTTTTTATGAGCATAAATTATATTATACGTGTTACGTTTTTTAAACTTTTGTAGGTTCCGCATTAAAAATACATCACTAAGTTTTTCTTTTAGGATACTTATTATTTCCAAATGACCTAGTAAATCTTCCCAAGTATTCATTCTTGACTGACAAAATAATATGCAATCACAAATTGTTAATAATATTTCGTAGATCCGTTTGAGGGCCACTCTGGCCAATATTATGATGGAAAATAAAAAAATCTCCATTTACCGCAATGTTATATCATCTGGGCACTAGATCGATACGTTAAATATGAGATTTTTATTCATACTATACTAACAAGTTTAATTTGTGTTTTCTAACCTACAGGATTTGAAGGATGACATTGAAATAATACAAGATACTGAGACAATTAATACAGAATGCGAATTAGATTGTGTTGATGAAATCTCATCTAAATTGAATACATCTGGTAATGTGAATTTGTATAAATTTGTGTAAAATTTTTTTATGATTATTTGAAATCCCCGAATGCTATTTACTGTATTTTCTTTTGTTTTCTTAAGTAAAAACTTTAATTTTTCCATAATCTTACTTTTTGATTAATTACCGAATATAAATGTTAATCTTTCAATTTGACACTTTTTCTGGTCGGTTATTTAAAAAAACTAAATCCCAGCTACCACCGAGTCCTGAGACCTCATTCACTCTGTAAAGAATAAGTGGATATTGTTGATCTAAATGTTTCTTAAAAGTATGGGATAGGTAGTATCATAACTTACTGGTGTTAATCATTTGCTTAAATTATATATCTGAATTTTTCAAATACTGTTTCTAGTACCTCAATATGGTCGACTAATGAAATGTAAGATAACATTGTTTGGATTGCCATGCTATCTACCAAAGGAAGTACATACATTTCTATGTATTGGTTATTAGAAAAGATGCTGTAAATTTAACGGGTTATCATCAGAGTAATATACGCACTGACTCATCAGTGATGCCAATAACATTAGTCCCGTTTTCAATTCCTCGTACGATTAAGGCGATTAATAACATTAAATGGTGGAATATAGGGAGTTTCCTTCGAAATAGATGAATATAATATTTATAAGGAAGTATATTTGTTTGAGACATATCGTACAAACTAGCATTTGTTGTTAACCCAAAAATATTCTATAGAGTAAGTAAACTAAAAATTGTATAAGTGATGAATTCCATAATATAATGAGGGTTAGTCAAAGAATTGGAAAAAACTAATTATGGCACAGTTACCATTACGTATCCAGTGGGATTTAATGAGTATTATTAAAACTGAATTTTATGTACCTCAATGGATGACTTCCAATCTTTTTAATTTCATCTAAAATATTTTCAGATTTGTCCGATGAAACAAGCTCAAATCAGTTGAATGAATCGTTTAATTTACCTTCAACAACTTTGTCTAGACAGTCTCCTAAAGATGACAATGATAGGGTATCACCTCCGACCATTACTGTATCTATTCCACCAATTTTAACCTCTCGTCCGAGTAATCATACATTATCTAGCCCATTAATAAGAGGTTAGTGTTCGCATTTTGTCATGACACATATTTACTATCAACAATAATTTTTTTCAATAGAAATGATCCAGGTGTTTTATAGAGATGTAGCATACTGTCGGTTTTAGTTACATAAACTTCTTATTTTAATTGTCTTCATTTTGTATATGGAATGTGCAAAGTCAATTAGTAATTTTCCACTAAATTTCATTTTTATAAATCTTCATCTTTCAATGATTTAGTCCTTTTTCTACTTTTTTTAAATAATGTATGATCACATTTCTTGTATTCTTTACCTTGCTCTTAATAACTGAACGTTATGGTTGCTGGTATCACACTGTCTTATCGGCGCACCTCAAGGAAGTAATACGATAAAGTCTAGGAGTTAAAATTTCTTAAAACGATATTTATTCTAATTAGAATCCGTAGGCTGATGAAAATGTGTTACTATGATTGCACACTCACTATAAATGGTAAAGTATCAACCTTCAACTTTAGCATTGTTTGTTGGTAAATTCACTTATTGGACAATGATTGTCCATGATAATTATGAAGAAATTATAACAACAATTGATTAACATCTTGCGTAAAGCATTACATAAAGTTAGAAAACATCTAGAGCAAAAGCTCTTGTAATCAACATACAACAAATCAAAATCATTTAGACTTTATCATTGGTATCTTAAAAATCCAATTATATGAAGGTACACCCATCGGAATAAAACCAAATACGGCGAAACCTGAGTCCTGAATTCCACTGCTAGCGACGGTCCATTACTACTTCAATTGAGAAGTATATGTAAAGTTTACAATATGGAAGACCAAACAAAATTGTAGTGTCATTTTGTCATTGAGATAAATGGATTTATATATTAGCTGTTAGTACAAAATAGTGATCATTAGCCTGTAATTTGTAACATAGTGTACCTAATAGTTAAGCTTGGCTAGTTAATTTATATATATTCAAATAATGGTCGATCGTTCCAAGTGTACAAGAATGCAATAAGGTTAATGTTTATAATTATTAAGATCATCCTCACTTATTAGGTCTGCATAAATAAAAATCAGTCCAGATACATGTGTTGCTTGAGTATTGGAAACAGCTAGTCAGTTTATTTTCAAAAATCAACTTTTTTGGTGGGCTTGTTTTTAGTTAATTGAAGTGTAACTTGACAATGGTTACTCATATTCAGATCAGTTGTAGAAAGAGATTTCACATAGGTAATAAAAGTGTAAATATCGAATAGATGGAATGTGGCTAGGAGTGAAATACAGGACTCGCGTTTCTTTTTCCAATGTCCGTATCGAGACAATCCTCGCAGATTGCACAAATGTCAACTTAGACTGTTCACTATCTAAAACGAGATAATCCAAACCATTAAAAATTAAATTAATGCTAAGAGTAGTTTAAAACATAATAGTACGTAAATTGATCTCCAAATTAATTAATGTCTACCAACAATCGACTTAATTCGAGTTGAGACAAGTGATAAGTAAATTAAACCAGCCAAGGAAAATATCTCAGAAATAATGTATGAAAAGTTGTCACATTAAGTAAGTTTTCTAATTTTTCTCCTATATATATATATATATATATATATATATATATATATATATATATATATATATATATATATATATATATGACTTTTGTAACGTATCAGAAATCTCTTTTTAAAAAAACATTCTCGTTACTTAGGATCAAGTCGTGCTCAAAAAATGCTTGTATTAGGTTTACAAAAAGCCGCCGAACAGACTGCACGTCAGAGGTCGTCTTCCGGAGATCATAACAGTGGTAATCTGTCCTTGGATAATAGTCCTACACTGACAGAACGAAAGTCAACGTTAAATTTGCTGGCTTCTCCATCTCGTTTGACACTCAATGTTTCGGTAGCAGATTCTCCATCTGGTAGCTATTTTTTTTTCTAACTTTTGTATTATAAAAACCTTAGAGGTGTGTTTTTATTATTTGTTGATCAATGTGTTAAATAGTTATTTAAGGAGTAGGTCCTGTGAATGTGAACACGATTGGATAGAAATCAAAAGTAACCTAGATTGTTTAGTTATAAATCGTTTGTAACTGAGATGAAACAACTATCTAACGTACAAGTTCCTACGCTACATGTTATTATGAAATAAAAGAAATTAGCATTACAGTAGTCAATCATTCCGCTATTTTCCATCTTCTAGTGTTATTCCAACCTACTCGCTCAATTCTCAACATAGTGTTTTGTGTCTAGTTAATAAAGATTAACAGCCTCATCATTTATAGCAGCTCTTATCACACTCCTAGATAGTCTATTTTTATCTGGCTATTCTATCTTAGGGATTTTATGTTCTTCCTACATACTCTGTTATCTGTGACTTTGTTAATCATATAATGTGAGTTTTTACATGTGCTTGCTTTCTATGATTCTATCGTCCATACTATAGTTAGTTATCGATAATTTATACATCATTCATCTTTTGTAAAAACTGAACTGGCCTGTTTGACCTCTGAAATTCGCATCCGCCGTCATCTTTCCTCATTAATGGATGTCTGGAACATGTATATGTAGGGACAGTTTCGTAATTAGCTTTTGATTTACCGTTGTTGTTAATGTGTTAATCGACAAAATATGTATGAAGTAATTAAGATACATATTACCAATTGACCGTTACAGAGTCAGAAACAGGCACTAAACATCAGTCGATCCTTTGTTTTCAGCTAGGATTGGACGTTAAACCTCAGAATTACTAACTTGGTGATTCCACTGTATACAAGTGGCCCTTTGAAAATACTGTTTCATAGCCTTGAAGTAATGGTGAGGAAGAACAACTACATTGTCTCCTCATTCTGTAGAATAATTTTATTCTTAATAAAAACAACTCAAGTCACTTCATTGTAACAGGTTCCATATTTATAAATGATTCTTTGTTAATCATAGTGGTTATTGACCAGATAGCGGACTTTTCTTCAAAACATTTGGCTGCACATTCTGGTTCAGTTCTCTCTACTTTCATTTAAATTACCGGGTAATTTCAACGGCTTTCATACCACAACATTTATAACTTGAAACAGTTTTCAAATATGTACTTACCTACTGAGTTTGACTAAATTTATCCTGAATTTTTTTAAGGAAAAATTGTGGTTTTTTTTCTAATTAGATTCATTTGTTTTCGTTTTATTAAGGAATTATACGAAATTTATGGTCAAAGAAAAAATCTCAGCGTGTATCTTTTGTTGAACAACCAGTAGTTTATACAATCGAATCGACGAATTCTATTGAACAAGAATCCGACGAAGATTATGATCATGATAATCAAATTAACTTCAGTACTAATAGTAAAAGAATCGTATTTAATAATAATAGTGATGATGGTGATAAATACGAGGAATTTAATGATTTGAATGAAAATAAACCTGATGAAGTAGTAATTAACAGTAGTGTCGAAGAATTGAAAGAATCCAACAAAAAGAATGAAGAGACGGGAATAAATGGGATACCTATGTCAAAAATTCAAGCTCACGTCATATCGAAACAGATTCCTGTTGATTTAGATGCTTCACAAGATTCATCACAATCTGTGTATGTTCTAAATGTATTTTGTATATTGTATTTTAAGATTGTTAGTGCTTTACTAAAAAATAGTCTATATGGAAAGAAACTCAATCGTTCAAGTTCTACTTCGCTAATAATTATTTCCTAATCAGTTAGCCAATCTTAGTCAACCTAAAGCCTGACACTAATCATGCGTCATATGTCACTCAACGTATTTAACCTTATTGATTGCTATTATTTGAGCATATGTCCATTAGTTAATCTTCACCACCTAACATAGCTCAATCTGATAATTAATTATTTCATTAAGTGGTGCTACTAGTAAGTGTTAACCTATATATATATATATATATATATATATATATATATATATATATATATATATATATAAATTTGGTTTACATACCAAAGATTCGATGGTAATGGCTCAGATTCATTCACTACTTGACTTCCTTTGGATCCTGAATTTCAGAATCACCTTACACTTATTTCTATTCCATTAATTCCTAATTATATCGTCTATACTGAATGTTTTATGCTCCTATTGATACTGTTACTAATCCACTACTCTGGGATTTGTATATATAGTTTTATCTCTCTTAACTGATATGGTATGGTAAACTGAATTGGTGGACGAACGTTCCATCATCTATGTTGCTTGCGCCTGACTGACAGAATCTACATATTTTTGATCTAAAGACGTACTGATTTTTTTATCTAACTTAATCTAAATATTTTCTTAAATGATAATGTGCTACATTTTCAAATTCTTAACCACAGTGTTTTCCAAGTTGCGTGTTTACTTTTTATTTCAGAAGTACTTGACTTAAGATTAATCGTCTTCTTTTCTGTGCACAATAATTATACAGATTCTCGATTACTACAGAAATCGATAAAGAGACAACTCCTAGCACATTATCAGAAGATAGTTTTGAATCAAGTCTACATCATCGTCGTAAATCAGCTTCTCCTCAACGACGGGAATTACCGATTAAAAAAGTATCCTCTGGATCTAAGTATCAAACTTCTAAGCAACTTTTAAAGTCATCCAAAGGTAGACCGTTATTCATGGAGCCTGTTCATCAAACAGAAGTGATTTCCCATAATTCAAAGACAAGTGAATCAACAGAATCACTTCATATGAATAAAAAAGAAAATATCCTTGTAACCGACAGTGAGTCAACCTTGATAGCAGATACTCAGTTAGAGGAAAGTACTCTTCAAACAAATGACATTGGTGACAATTCTTCTCGCTCTAATAAACAAACACAGGAGGATGAATTCGTTACTACCGATAGTTATGTTGATGATGAGTGCATTTTAATAGAAGGGAGTCAAGGTGGTAGTCAAATCAATAACACCGAAGATCAGTTGAGTTCTTCAACGAATAGTCAAATAAATCAGTGTAGCTTCTCACCTATCAATGTAGAGGAGAGTCCAGAAATAAATAATGATAATAATAGTGGTACAAAGGTAAAATTTTGGATTTAATGATTGTTAATTTTTTCCTTGTCCTGTAAATTCTATATCGTTATATCACTATTTAGTGTAACATATCGTAAATTGTTGCGATATGTTTCAGTATTTGATTTTACTGTAAGAATGTATCATTTCCTTCGAGTTTCAAAAAGGAAATTGTAGATACTTTGAACGTAAATTTGATTAATTTCATTTAATTCTAGCAATAATAATCTTGAACAACGGTGTGAATATATATCTTTTCTTAAATTTATCTAACTTAACTGACTGTCTATGAAAATCTCATGATCATACAATCTTTAAGACTGGCCAGCAAACAATGAATTATTGCACGAGTAGATTAATAATCTACCAATGTAAAAAGGACCATGATTTAAACCCAGTAGGGTGTTGATGTAGTTTGTCATTATAAGTTAAGAAATTTTTTTACATATTTTACCCTTTCCATTAACTGTGAATTTATTACTCGATAATATTAAAAAAGCGGGAGTAGATCATCTACTTGATTTTCCAATTAGGTATGCATCGTAACTTATAAATTTGTTTTCAATAATACCCCATATTGTCTACTTTGATTATTAAGTTGTTCTTGTTAGTGTGATATATTACATAACTAGTTGCAAAATATCTAATTCCTTGCCGATTTTAAATACATAAATACTCATGTTCTTTAAAAAATTCACCGCTTTTACTAATTTGTTTTTTTCCTTACTCTTTTTACAAAATGTAGGATAGTTCAAGCTCCCAAACGATTGCCATTTTAACAGATAATAACGACACTAATGATAAAAATGTAGTAACTTCTAGTCTCATTGGTCTTAATGAAGTCATTGATGAACGGAATGTTACATTCTCGACATTACCTAATAATAATAATAAAATCATGAATGAGAACATTGAAGAGAGTGAAGTGAAGGACGATACCGTTGGTGATAATAAAGAAAATCAACCAGAATCAACAGTGATGAGTGACTCGACAGAAAATGATGTAGAAAAAGATATTTTAGATAAACTATCACAAATCGCAACTAGTTTGCCTATATTGCGACCAGAACAAAGACGTGCTGTTCTTTTAGAAGCTCTTAGTACATTCAAATCAATTATGCCATAAATATTAAACAGCTTATCATATATTTTCTACAATGAGAAATAATTTAAGAATAAAAGCGGAAATTCAGCATTAACATCATTCAATGTTTATTTCCCAATTGTTCAGTCATTATTGTTGCCTATCGTACTTTTATTTTTGAAAAAAATGCAAAACATATTTTACTACGTAGGATCACTACACCTACCTTTTAAGTTTATACAGTTTTGACTCGTGGTATTATTATTTTTCTAAATATGAGATCTCATTTATGAGTGACTCTTATTTTAATTATACATTCCCTGTCTCCGTTTTAATTAGGAGAATAAAAATACAATGAAACAGTAGACTTGGTTGTATGCAATTCTATTATGCAGTTGCTTTTTTAACTATGCTATCTACTGGTCTCACTTCAAGAAGGTTCTATCATGTTTACATAGAGTATTGTATTTTTCAGAAGTGGTTTTTAGATTTGAAGAAAAAATCCTATTTATTTTAAGTAAATCTCTGTACTGTTTTACCCTACTTGGTTTTCATTTTAATAGATTTGTAACATTGAAAAGCTAATATTTTAAAATTCATTTTAATTTTGATTATATAAATCTGTCTGGTGTCAAAGTTCAACCGAATGGATGACAATTTTGAATTCGTGAATTATCTGTCTAAATTATAGAAATATTCGTTAAAAAATGACCATAGAATTGTTCATGGAAAATAAACATATGATAAACATCGGTAGAGTTTTGCCTCAAATGAATAGGTTAGATATAATATTTTGGTCTTTGTAAGATGTATATCACTATCTGTATCAAATGGTAACCAAATCAAATTAAAGAAGCGCAATAAATTCAGATTTTGGTAAACAGTCTCATTTAAAAGTTGCGGTAAAAGCTAATTACATGTTATCTTGTTATTGTGACTACCAGTCATATATTTAGATCGATTGAAACAAAAAGGTCGATTCTGTTTTCAGTACTTAGGTTGCTTTAGTTATTTGGTGCTCATGTTTTGTTCAACAAAAAATTTATAGTGATTGTTCACCTTGTCATATTTGTATCTAAAAAGTCAAGCATACAAAAAAGAATATGATAAGGCCCTTACAGTAAATCTATCTCAATAAGATCACCACACAGTCATCTGAGACGCGGAACTCTGTTGGACTACTCATGTTAAGCACCTAGCTTTGTTTGATCAGATTGGTTTTGGATACTGACTTGTTAACTAACTGAATCATTCAGTTCATTCGAAATTCTACATTTTTCGTTTCGACATTTAAACCACCTTCTGATTTAGCGGATTTTTGTGTATACTGAAATTCAACCTATCGAAGAAGAACCTGATATAATTGCGCACCAGTCCATATTCTCGTTCTAAATCAGCACATTGGGAGGAAATTAACAAGATGAAGAGTCGAAGTATCCATAGTATCGACGATGGTGAGAAGGAACATATATCGGAGAATATGATTCAAAAATGTGTGGAAGAATATTGGAACTTAAAATCTAGAGGAAGATGGAGAATGAGTTTGTATGCAACCAATCCTAAGCCATAGTACTCAACGTCTCTAGCTACTGATCATGGTTACTGGACAGACAACAACGTGATATACTAAACACTATATTGTCACCTATGAGTTATCCGTATAATTGATTAGATAATTCTAAGTTTTATTTACTCTACTATTGATACGTGCGTAGAACATTTAAGAGATTAGATCAGTAGGTATACTGTCCCTGCATATTTCTTAATTGGGATCCACATCTTACGTTCCTAAGCAAGTAGAGCTTTTTAGCCAGATAATTTCACTCATGACATTCTTCGATTGAGGTGGTTGGGATGATTTACATAAACTTAGCAATACATCTACCTAGACAGGTAGTACATTTCATGAACTACAACTTGGGAAATAAGTCGTACCAAACTATACCTCAACCAAAGCCAATTTAACTAGTAATTCTGCACTAATACCGATGACAATATTTCTCAACGATTAGGTAGAATACACACCTCACTTTCCTAATTAAAACGATCGAACTAATAGGAGCGCGCATCATTAACTTATTCACTCTGCGGTATTTAATCGGTAGTTGAATGTGAATGCTTCAAATTATTACTCGGAATTTTATCCATTAATAAAAGTTTACCATAACGTACAAAGACCCATTTCCGAAAAAGCGAGGCAAGTAATTTTACTACAACAATCGTTGGACCCTTTTGGAGTCTAAAATATTTGGTGGAAATACATTAATACAGAAAGCTAGGATATAAAATACCCTCGTCGCTACCCCTTTATTATCGATATTTACTACTTCAGTCATGGTATTGACGATAGTATATTGCATTCAAGATACAAAACAATACATTGAGAACTACGAATTATTGTAGGTGAATTATTTGTAACCTTACATTGCCTGTTATATTTAGATAAATCCTTGGCTAGGACACATTTCAATCATGGTGCTAGGAATTAGTCAGAGTAGGTAGGTGGCAAGTGAAAATAAGTCCCTACCTGGCTATTAGAATCCTCCAACTTTTGCTAGCTTTCACTTCAGATCACTAAATAGCATGATTTCCCTTATATATATATATATATATATATATATATATATATATATATATATATATATATATATATATATATATATATATATATATATCCGACCGTAGCTGCTACCTTGACGTGGTGGTCGGGCTTGCCTATCGTGATGACCCAACCGAGCTATATTGGCTGGAGCACATGTTCCTGCAGGTTCTACCATGCCAGACAGGTCGATTGGAGAACGGTAAGACTAAAAGCAGAAACTCAAGGTCTGAGGGCGAAGTCGTACTGCTGACTGTACAGAGATGTGACAGCAGTAAGGTGTTTCCCTCGGACAACCAACACCTGCAGCGATGCTGCCTTCTCACAAAGAAGGAAGAGGTTAGAAAAGGTCGACCTTAAAAATGTCACTCCTCACCTTACCCCACGGATTTCCGTCTCCGGCGGTAAGGCCGTTTGAAGAACGGAGCTAACACATTAAAAACCTCCCACAAAAACACCGTGCGCGACCGGCCTCAAGCAGTTGTCCCTTGGGCTCTGCGGTCACGCACCCAGGTCGTTAAGACTAATGCTAATCCAATTTCTTTTTCAGGTTCCTCAAGAAATACCCTTCCACGGTGTGGGCAAGCGGGAAGTGACATCAGCCACATACCCGTAACAGCACACGAGATCACGTTGGTCACATTCAAATCCTTCCTACACCTAATAACTCTCTTATCTCCAGGACTAACCCTTCTCACGTCCTTTTATCAGCTCGCACTGCTAGTGCAGATGATTCGAGTACGCGGAATGTTATTCCTGGTCTTCTGAAACCACGCTCTAAACTACACGCAGGAGCTTTCAACATACGAACACTGTGCCAAATAGGACAACAGGCTTCCTTAGCTAGGACTTTAGAATCTCGCTCCATCGATGTGTGCTGTGTCTCCGAAACGCGCACACAGGATCCGAGTAGTGTCATTCATTTGACCTCACCATGTCAAAGTAACAAACCAACTCGATTTATGCTTCGTGTATCTGGAAGCCCTGATGCTGCTTCCCGTGGCCTCGCTGGCGTATGTATAGTATCGAGTCCTAGGGCAGAACTAGCTCTCTTAGACTGGATCCCAGTAGACAGTCGTTTGTGCGCTGTCCGACTAAACGGAGCAGTAAGGACTCGGAAAGATAGGGACACTCGTCGTTGCTTCTTCGTCGTCTCTGCCTACTCTCCCACTGACTGCAGCTCAGATGATGTAAAAGATGAGTTTTACAGAAAGCTTTCCGACCTTCTCCGAAAAGCTAGGTGTTCAGACGTAGTAATATTGGCTGGTGACTTTAATGCTCAAATAGGCAAAGTAAGCGAAAGTGAAAGACACCTAGGTGGATCTTATGGTGTCGCGGCTCAAAGAACAGATAACGGTGACCGTCTGTTGCAGCTATGCTCAGATAACAGCCTGTTTCTTGAAAACACTAACTTTAAGCATAAGGAAAAACATCTTTTAACATGGCGACCCCCTAATTCGTCCCAACGTTGGATTCAAATAGATCACATCGCTATTAGCCACCGATGGAGGGGCTCGATAGAAGACTGTCGCTCATTCTGGAGCGCATGCTCTAGTGCAAGCGCGTATTTGTCTACGTCTTACTGGACGTAGGAAACATGCTGCAAGGAAACCCCTTAGGGTCCTACTTAATGATGGTCAAGCTAATAGTATATTTCAGGAACATCTAGAAAAACAGTTAGGCAGCCATGTAAGTGATGCCCACCCCGAGGCAGCGTGAAATGACATCCAAAAAGCTGTAGAAACAGCAGTGATGTCTGCAAGTACGGTAAACTACAAGGTTAGGGTGAAACACTGGGTCTCAGCAGCATCTACCCCACTGATAGATGCTCGTAAACTCATCCCATCTGGCTCTGAACATAACGAAGAGCGGAGTCAGCTTAAGCGTAAGCTGACTATAAGCTTACGCAATGATCGCGAACAGTGGTGGATAGCGAAAGCAAGAGAGATGGAAAAGGCAGCAGCAATGGGTATCGGCAGACAACCTTTCAGACTTGTTAAGGAAACCGGTATTAGGAACCCAACAATCTCAGAAAAAGATGGACATATTATTCATTCTCAATCCAGGAGATTGGACCGATGGGCAGAACACTTTAGGGATCAGTTCAACTGGCCTTCAGCCACACTTCGGTTTCCCACGATCTCCAGTCGACCTGAATGGCAAGTTGATGTAAGCCCTCAGACTCTTTACGAAGTTGAAAAAGCCATAGGAAATCTGAAGCGTGGGAGAGCAGCAGGTCCTGACAGGTTTACCCCTGAGATTTTTAAGGTTGGTGGTCCAGTATTAGCAGCGAGATTTACTAAGTTCTTAGGTAGAATCTGAGAACTGGACGTAATCCCATCTGAATGGTCTCAATCACTGATTGTGCCACTTCTTGTGACAATCACAGAGGAATCAGTTTGACTAATATACTGTCTAAAATATTAGCTTCAATATTACTTCGACGCCTAACCAAAGCTCGTAAAGAGCAGAATAGAGAAAACCAGGTTGGTTTTCGACCTGGACGTGGTCGTATAGACTAAATATTCACACTACGTCAGGTCCTAGAACATAGACACACATTCAGACGCCCCACAATGTTAGTATTTCTCGACCTTAAGGCGGCATTTGACTCAGTTGATCATGAGGTTTTGTGGCAGTGTTTGTCACTGGAAGGAGTACCAAAGAAGTACATTAACCTTATAAAGGCTCTCTACTCGAACACAACTAACTGGTCGAGTGAGAGCTTATGGTGAACTGTCATCAGAACTGATTACCTCAAGTGGTGTTCGTCAGGGCTGTCCACTCTCTCCATTCTTGTTTAACTTTGTTGTTGACGTCCTTTTAGAGATGACACTTTCCTCATCTAAATTTCCAGGGAATGAACTTCTACCGGGAGATTCACTTGTTGACTTAGAATATGCCGATGATATAGTTCTATTTAGTGAAGATGCTGACAAAATGCAGTCTGCTGACCACTCTAAGCAACAATGCAGGCATGTTCGGCATGCGATTTTCTCCCTCGAAATGCAAAATGTTGCTTCAGGATTGGGTTGCATCGACACCCGAACTAGTGATAGGGAGTGAAGTAGTTGAGCGTGTCAACCGCTTCACTTATCTTGGAAGTCTCATCAGCCCTTGTGGTCTGGTGTGTGACGAAATCTCAGCACGAATAAAGAAGGCTCGACTAGCTTTTGCCAACTTGCGTCATTTATGGAGTAGGCGAGATATCCGTCTATCAACCAAAGGGCGTGCTTACTGCGCAGCAGTTCGTTCCGTCCTAGAGTATTACTGTAAAACATGACCGGTAAGAGTAGAGGATATTCGTAGGTTACTAGTATTCAACCATAGATGTCCTAGGAACATTGCTCGTATATCCTGGGACCACCGAGTAAGCAACTCAGTTGTTAGGAAACGGGTACTATGTAAGGATGGCAAATCAATTGATGAAGTAGTGAAATTTAATCAGTTGAGATGGCTGGGACATGTGTTGCGCATGCCCGACCACCGACGTGCGATGTTTTCTGGTGTAGGAATAGGTTGGAAGAAAGCTAGGGGCGGCCAGACCAAAACATGACACAAATCCATGAAGTCACTGACAAGTGGACTGAGTCATGTATGTAGATGTAGACTACTTTGTTGGGGACCGCGAGATGATAACAACCGATGGTTAGAGGCTTCGAATGACATGGCTCAAAATCGTTTGCAATGGCGCAGGTGCATCCACTCTGTGTTCTCTCAAACTCTAATCTTCTGTATTCTTCATATTCTTTATTTTCTTTCCAAATCTATTCCACTGGACTATACTCCTTAAATAACATCATCAAACCCTAATGTTACCTATCACTACCTCTTCCACTAAGGGATTTGAATCGATAACTGAATCTCTGTGCTAATGTGGTATGACAACTCGAACTGATGTACGTACGTACGAAGTTACACGTTGTTACTGACTGACTGATATATATATATATATATATATATATATATATATATATATATATATATATATATATATATATATATATATATATATACCATACGAATGACCTTATTGCTTACGCTTAATTAGCTAACATAATTACATAAGGAAGCAGAAGACTTTGATTGAGGTCAGATCGTAAACAGAGACAGTTGCTTATCATCTACTTAGAATAGCGAATAATAATTAAGTCATTTACTTACATCAGTTGTCATATTTACGGTGTCTGCTATTAAGCTAGAGAATGGTGATGTCATCTGAGTGAAGCAGTAATACATGAACACGTATTGTATGTTCGTTGCTGTACCTCTATTTGTACATTTGACGAAACAATTTATCACAAAAAAGAATGCTAGGCTCATAATAAATGGATTTTCAAAAAGAATTCACATACACTGTATTGATACCGATGTATACACATAAAGAAAAAAGCAACAAATAGTGGGAGTCGAAAGACATGAGGAATCGCGCAATGTTTACACCAAACCAGTTTATTAAACACAAATTAGAATATGTTAGAAAATAGAACGAAAGACGAATAAATATAAGAAAGGAAGTAGAGAACAAATAAATTACAAAAAACATTGTACATTTAATAATGTTAATTTCTATGATGACGGTTACGTAATATACATGTAGAGTGATAAATAAATGCATCCAGAAGACTTGCCACTAAAATAAATTAAAACAAAAATACTAAAGTACTGAATAAATGAAATAATTACAAAAAATGATCAGAAGTTCGTCCAGTTATCTATGAATTGAGTAAACGTAACCATATTACATCGTCGAGATTGGATAAACAGAAGTCACCAAAAAAGACCACGTAATTAGTAGTTACTGATGTTTACAACTAAATGATATGATTGTTTATTTGGCAGACCAGTAGCAAACTTTATTTGTTATAAGTGAATGAAGTTTAAAATATATTTAACACGTGATAACTGATGATATGTTTAAATCCTTATTGATGAACATGTAACGTGTAAACTAACACTCACAAGTCAAAGGTTAAACTACGCTTTCCTCTAACAACATTCGGTTAACTTAACAATGTCATTAATGCTTACACGAGAGATGCTGCCGATAATTAAGTAAAAGTAAATATATGTGACTGTTCACTTACAGTCTATAATTTTTATCTAAAGACTAGATTAAGTATATAAGAAAATAAAGCATTATGAGTGATTAATTGAGGTCACTGATCTTCACGAACTGACCTTAGACAGCCATTCAAAACGAGAAAACACTGAACAGTTGTCTTAGCAGTGTGTATCCACGACCTCACTGTGAGTCAAACTCAAAACTTGAAGTCTCACGGCGAGCACTGAGCCGAGATCCAATGTTGTACATTGCTAATTTCAATGAGCGATTAAACTAGGTCATTGAGTAAGTTATAATCCTGCAAATAAACCCAGGCAAATCACTTACCACATACATGTATATTACACAATCGGTTGTAAGAGCTTATGTAATTACCCAGTTATTAGACATGAGTATGTAGAGCGATGTCTAAAAGTGTAATCTTTTCATTCCATCTCACTGTATTTTAAGTGTTTCATTTTTCTCACTCATCGCTACAACAATTATTCTTACTGCATTTCTGTTTATGTTGATTCCATCGAGTCGTTCCAATGCGGTATGTTAACCTATGATAACGCATATTTAGGTGAAGCTCTAGGTTGATTACAGCTAACTGAATGACAAAATATCGAGAAATGTAGACAGAGAGAAACTGAACCTCTGTGACATCATTGATAAACTTTGTTATCACATGTATTCAGTCACCATTTTCAGCCACGCAATGTTATCTAGCCATGTGATATCAAAAATCTTAAGAAAAAACTGAATAGATCGTCTATTTCTTTTTTATTCTAGTTCACAATACTTTTTTAACTGACATAAAATCAGAATGGAAATGATTTCAAAAATAACTTATTAAGAATATTTACTGAATCTACCAAGTACAGCATTCAACAAACAATGTACCATTATTATTTCTAATGGTAAAACATTCTAAGTAAATTTTTAACGACAATGTTGTAAACCGTAATGAAAAAAAGGAGCGCTGGCACAGAAAATAGGTCCAATATACTCTTACCTGTAAATACTCCTCCAATAATTGCACATGTGTTTGTCAAGAAATGTATAAATGACCTGGAAAAAAGTGGACAAATTTAAGACTGGGCAGCATCATCAATGAACAAGACGAATTTAATGCAGATATACAGGCAAGTATTGGGAAAATAAGAACTGCATTCATACAGTTGAAGAACGTATGGAACTCAGATCGAATATCTGTCAGCTAATACCAAAGTCCGAATCTTCTATACGAACGTCAAGACACTTCTACTGTACGGAGCTGAAACTTAGAGAACTACTACAACCATCATCAAAATAGTACAAGTATTTACTAACAATTGTCTACACAAGATACTCAATGTCCGTTGACCATCAGCGACAGTCTACTGTGGGAGAGAACAAACCAGCTTCCAGTTGAAGAGGAAGATAGGAAAAGACGCTGGAATTGGATAGGCCATACGCTTTGGAAAACACCAGACTGAGTCAAGAGGTAAGCGCTAACTTGGAATCCTGAAGGTAAACCAAAAAGCTGAAAAGCAAATGACACACTGCCGAGAATTGGAAGTGGACATGAAAAGAGTGAATAGCATTTGGAAAGGATTGCCTGGGACAGAGTCCGATAGAGAATGTTCGTGATCAGCCTATGCTCCTCCATGAGGGGTAACACTCGTGAGCAATATTTAAGTCAATCGGAATACGATAAAGAGATGTACGTTAACTAATGTAATAATAGTTAGTTGGAAAATATTCAGGTTTTTCATTTTAAGATGGTAGTTATTTGTATCGACAACAACAATAATAACAGATAACGATCTACACTTAAGAAATGTAAGGTTGAGTAAAATGCATATATGATGTGAGAGGGAAGCCTAATAGTTAAGGACTTACAGACTGGAGAATGAGTGACTAATAAAATAAGTTTTGTCCGATTTTATAACAATTGTTATGCTATTAAATAAAAAGACCTATTCTACTGAGCTGTTTATCTTTCGATATCAGTTCACCTGACGAGTTTACGTTAACAGTACAGTTCTGCATGCAGCCACATTGTGTTACTGAACATAATTTATCAATCACCATTAATTTTATTCATCTTATCAAGTATTAACTAAATCACAGTAAAGGATACAAATTTATAAAGTGAATATCTTTTATATACATTATAATATTTTCGAAGTAATTTTATTAGAATGCTTACTTTTTCTCTTCGGTAATTTTAACAAGTAAAGGGGCTATTTCATAATTGAAAAATATACCAGGTAATCCTTGACCATCACCAGATAGAGGCGTACCTTTTGAATGCCATGTAGCAGAATATTGATTAGTTATCACAGTGTTTTCCTGTATATTCACACAGAGAAAATCAGAATTAACGAAGTAAGCAGAAACTAAGTGTTTTAGAAAAATGTACATATAAACTGTACACTGTAAAATTTGTGGTAACCTGTGTTAACGATAGGTTAATGTATGTAAACTAATAATAGTTTCATTTTTGTGAAAATTTTAAATTAAATTAGTGAAATAGAATTAACCGGCATGAGTAACTGACAATCATTTATATCATATCAGCAGTGAGATTGAAGCAAATTTCCCCTACAGAATGGATAACCAGTAAGTACATATGTACATTATTTCACGACACTCATGTTAACTCTTCCTTGTCAAACTTTTTTATTTGCAACTAATTTCTGTATTTCGATTGTTTAAATTAGTTGAAGGTGAATATCAAGTTAGTAAAATGCTAAGAAAATGATCCTGAATTGATCAGGAACGTCATTCAGTTGAAAAGTATAGAGTGATGGTTGAACCTGAAAACGGTTCGAGTGATTGAGTCAGGTCTAGAAGTTAAGTCGCCGATAGTGATGGTTATAATTTTTCTGTCATTTGTCAACAAATATCACTTATGTTGTTAGAAATAGTCTACTGTCTATCGAAAAGTGAGTATACCGTTAGTTTGCTCTCACTGTGATGTGAAGTGTGGTACCTATATATCACGCCCTGTATTACTTGTGACAACAAACTATTGAGTGGAATCCCATTCTGTGTTACAAAGATGTTAAGACTTGTGTGATGACATGTATTCAATCATGCGTTTCGCTTGAAAGATTAATTATGTGCTAAAAGCACTCGATAAGGATTGTTGAGAATGAAATTGATGTTTTAGATAAGGGTGGTAGATCAGTTGATAAGGTTGTAAAACTTTATTAGCCGAAGAGATTGATTCAGGAGTTACACATGACACTAATTATCTTCGTTTGCGATGTCAGCTAAAGTAAGATTTGGCTGGAATAAGTGTTCGAACCAAGGCATAGCATCAGTCCTTAAAATTACTAACAGATAGTTCGAACAGTGTAGATAGTAGCGAACACTTTATGAGTAAGGATTTTGATATCACAGAAACCAGCTAAATATTCTATTAGACGAAACAGTCTAAAATTTATGATAGTTATACAAATATGTACCGACATTTACTTCCTAAATCCTCAACTTCATAATACTTCGCATTTATTTTGCTTTGTTTGTTTTCATATTTTTTGTTGTTATCTATTTTCTTTATCTATGTTGTGTAGTAAGGAAAGTTGAAGTGTGACATAATGCAAAGTTTTAGGTTAACATGTTTTTTTTTCTTTTGAAATAAGTCTCAACAGTCAGTTGGATCTACTCAAATAATCGTAATATAAGAACTTACCGGAATGTAAGGTAAATAATCTATCAAGATAAGCTTTCTGAGAGAAAGTCAGCTATTCTAATACCATCCATGAACACATAGTAGAGTATAATAAGCTCTTAAGAGCAACATTAACTACGTAGATGGAGAGATAGATCATTGTATTTTTATTTACTCAATTGATATCTACTGAATCATAATGAAACAATCCTTTTCAAAATGTTTGTAAAATTGTACTATCACTCAAATAAGAGAATAAAAAAGCACAATAACTACAGGAACTAAGTATTTAAAGTAATGATGACTACCATGATGAAATGATTACAGACAAAATATTTTTTGAAATGTTAATCAGTGGTGTGTAAGAATGTTTTACAACATAAGATATTCAATATTCATGTGTTCAATAGTATATCTTCGTATTTACTACCAATGATTTAGATGTATACGCTAAGGAATATCAGTGAATTTAACATCATATCCTTAACTTATTGTTATATTTTAAAACATCGAAGAAAACTTATCAAGTCATTAAAAAGAATGAAGATGTTCTAAAGAGGAGAATCTTCTTTTCTAGAATGCCGCTTTTTTATACTATACAATAGTATTTATCAATAATGTGATATGATTATTTATTTATTTGATTGTTAATTAAAGCAATAAAGGTATCTTCCATAAATATCAACATTTCATCATATTTGTGTGTGGGCTGTGATACTGCCCGGGTGCCCAAACCGAAGCAGGTGGTTTTCTTAGGTGGCCACACCCCGAGCCTTTGACCTGAAGACCTGATCCACAAGGCAGTGGAGCATCGTAAGGAGATGCAGTCCCATGGTAGCCTGTGACCAACGATTGGTTTATACGCCATTTGTTCCCTCAGGATACTGGATCCCATGTGCACCATTGGTTTGGGATCCGGTTAAAGCGCCGGAGATTCGCTTTCGCTTTTCGTCCTCTTATTTTCGTAAACAACACCACCGCCACGAGAAGGCAGTGAGTAAGACTTCCCTGGCAGAGGCTGTATACGCGTGGCTGTGTGAGAGCATTTCGAGAGGGAGGGCGTGCCCACCCCACTGTCGGCCATACCAAGGCATTTGAGGGCAATGTGATATGAGGTCTGAATAAATTTTAGTAAATTTATTCAGTGATGTAATTGTTCCTCTATATTATGATAGAACACTATATGTAAAATTACTGATAAATACGATTGCACAATTTAAGAAAATGACACTGTCGAAAAGACAACTTAATTCGTTGTATTTTTTTTTCAATATTCTTCTTAACAACTACATGTTGAAAAGCTAAAAAAAATTCCAGCAAAAAGAAAATAAATATTATGTACAAGATTCACGAAATTTTACCAATATGATTTTAAGTGTAATACACATATGAGTTACAACATACATTTCGGTTAACGCCAGTATACATAGTCGGTACCAGTTTTAAGTAGTAAATAAACATCTGGGAATCTGAAAATTCGGAAATAACACAAATAGTAATTATTTGTAAATAAACCAACGTGTGCGGTTACAGAGTTGAAAGCTTACATAATAACTAGTGAGAGGATTAAGACGAAATGTATTTTTGATAACTAATCAAAAATTAATAATAATTACGTAAGAGTAAAAAGAACAGATGTTAAAACTATGTAAGAACAGGAAAGGGAAAACAGATTTGGAAAAACATGTAGTAATAAGTCTATTCTAACTTTCCTCTACTATGTTACGTTGATGGCTAAGGTGGGGAAAGAAAGAGATTGTACACATTTCTACTGAATGCCCAAGTCAGGTTTATTGATATGAATGCCGTATACAGTATCAAGAAGATTCACACATAAATCACGTATATTTGATCAAATACGGTAGATGACTTGGAAAGGTTTATTTTAAACTACTTGATTTTTTATATTTATCAGGTGATCAAGTATTAAGTTTTGAATCATCATTAATTGTCATCAATCAACTACACGGGATGGTATTTGAAAAGAGGATGATGCACTTACCTACTTGTGTTTCCTTTGTGACTAGCTCCATATGAGCAGTAAAAATGATAAATACACATGGATGAGGTGAAGTCAAATAGATTATCTGTTTCCGGTTGGCATAATCGAATGATTATTGACTACAGTATCCTGCATGGATATAATAAACGTTTCCTCTGAACATTTTACTAACCGTTGACTTCATATTTAAACTATGGTCTGTGTGCATCGTTTTCATGTTGCCAAAGAGATCGGAATTCATATCAATGATCCTAAATTATGTATTCAATTGAACTTCTTACAACCTCTTTCTTTCCCCCACCATGGCCATCAACATAAACGTGTGTTAGAATAGAATTATTACTCCACCTTTTTCCAAATCTGTTTTCCTTTTTCTGATCTTAGATAGTTTTAACATTTGTTTTTTTTTCTAATCTTACGTAACTATTAACAATATTTGAATGGTTATCAGAAATGTTTTTCCTAATCCTCTCATTGGTTACTATGTATTTTGTTGATCTTTTAACAACATGTTACTAATTCATTTCATTTTAGCACATAGGTATTAGTACAAGGAGGCACCAAACACATATGCGCCACACAGATCTCATTAGATATGTGGGAGGGCTGTGATACTGCCTGGGTGCCCAAACCGAAGCAGGTGGTTTTCTTAGGTGGCCACACCCCGAGCCTTGGACCTGAAGACCTGATCCACAAGGCAGTGGAGCATCGTAAGGAGATGAAGTCCCATGGTAGCCGGTGACCAACGATTGGTTCATCCGCCATTTGTTCCCTCAAGATACTGGAGCCCATGTGCACCCTTGGTTTGGGATCCGGTTAAAGCGCCGTACATTCGCTTTTCGTCCTGTCATTTTCGTAAACAACACCACCGCCACGAGAAGGCAGTGAGTAAGACTTCCCTGGCAGAGGCTATATACGCGTGGCCATGTGAGAGCATTTCGAGAGGGAGAGCGGACTCTCCCCACTCTCGGCCATACCAGGGCATTTGGGGGCACATGTTACTAATAGTAATAATGAATAAATCCAATTCAAAAAATTACTGAGTCCAAAGATTAGTTGTCAAATTATAAACAATATTGTTATCTGTTCTTTCATACTGATTAAAATCAATTGATCAGTGAATAAGTTATCGTGGTATTAAAAAAAAAATAAAGGTAATCTAAATGAAAAAAACGCCTATTCTACTTTAATTTTATTCAGTACTCAGTTATAATTAGCGCTTCCAAGATTCTCATTTTTTTCTTTAACATCTATCAAGTGGACAATTATCTCTCATACTTTTGAACAACAAACTATTTACAGTCTAAGAATTATTTCAACCTTAAAATTGCTGTGTAATTTTCGGGCGACATTTAAAATCTCCAAATAATTGAAGTTCTTTTTATTTTTACGAAATAATTATAAATATCAGAAGGGGTTTTGTGGATATTATAGTAATTTTAATAGTTGAGATTATGAGATGTTGATGTGCACTGATAAGGTGTCCCACAGCAGGACGAAACGGCCGCCCAGTGCTTCCAGGTTTTCCATGATGGTCTAGCTTCAATTGACTCATGATCTCAACTATTAAAATTATAAGTCCAACTGTACAGCTTTGGTAGATGAAGTCATCATCTAAGAAACATCTTCTTTACTGAGTTGTCTTTGTCTTTTTTTTAATAATTAGAAAATAAAAGTGTAACTACTAGGATGAGTTACATGTTAATGAAATCTTTCAAGAGATTAATTATGAGAATGACTGAATAATCCTTTCTTCACAGGAAACTGTTGAGCAAACCAAGGTAATATGTTTAAGGAAGTAGGAGTATACTCAGTGTAGTAAGCGAAATTCAATGTAATCTGCTCGTTATCTTCAAAAGAATCTCATCGTTATATTATGTAGCCCAACAAATAAAACGCAAATGAAGTACTTACTGCTTGTGACCATACGACTTTTGTGCAAATGTACACAGTGCAAAAACTAGTCTGTTTATGACTACAGCTATTATTATTTAATAATTATTCACTAAAACAGAAATTCGAGTACAGATTTTGTAGGTGGTTAATGATTCCGGGTTCATACGATTTTGAGATTCTGGGTTCTCCACATTGTGGAAAAATGTTTCTTCAGTTGAGATCTGAGAGTAAAATGGATTGATAGATGAGATTTTTGTCATATTAGTCCTCTACTTTCGGGACTTTAGCTTGGTGTTGAGTATCCATGGTTCAAGAAGTTTTTAGGGGAGACCTTTTCTGTCTCATTTTTACGCCTGTAAGGACGGAGTATAGCTGAAGATTTTGCTTAACCATGGAGAAGAGGTTACTGAGGTCAACCTCAAACACAGCTGACAGTATGATTTCACCCTCAAATTTGAAATTAGTTGCTTTTAATCCCAACAGTCTTTAACCGGCTTGTACGACCTCAAAGGACCTCGAAGAAAGTGTTTCAGTAGATGTACTTTATTCTAACAATTGCAATAAGCAACTATGACTACTGACTAAATGTACCAACTACGGCCAAGAAACTGACTACTCATTATCGATTTCCAATACTCTTGGAACCTTGTAAGTCTGTAAGCACTCCTGAAATAGATTTTCTTTCAGGATTTCACTATCATGAATAAATCGATATGATACATGGGAGGTGACCGATAGGCGTATGTAAATAAAATTTAGAGACTTCATCAAAAGATTTATCTCCCATAGGAATTTTCATCCCTAGTTTTTCTACTGCTTACTCAGCGGTGTCTCTGAACGTTAGGGGTGGCATATGTGTCATCAGGGTGGTGAACGAGTGTTTATTTTTAAGTTATTAAGGCAGAGATGGGACATTCCAAACAAATACAGATAATACTTACGTGTTTGTACCGCCATTTTTGTTCCATCTAGTGAATTAACTTGACCAGGATATGAGTCACCAAAACGAAGCTCCCCGATTGAATGAGACACGTTGAACTAGGTTAAAACATTGGGGCATAATTAGTGCATTATAATTATAATGAAAATACTTTGTGAAGAAATATTATAGGGAATGAACAAATTGCTCAAACGATAGCCAATTTAAGAAATGTCTTGCATAATTAAGCGTTATTTCAGAGCAGCCTTTAAACCGGTGTTATTAAGAAAAAGATTTTCTCTTTTGAGGGCGTAACTTAATCAAGGTAAACAAATAAGGGCGATAGTAACCACTGTCAACGATCAAATAAATTCATTATCGAGTATTGAATACATAGAAGCATACTAAGACGATTAACAAATGGACAGATGAAAAGCAGTAATAGTTTGTAGTCAATCAACGCAATCAATAGCATAAGGTAACTGTTGTGAATCTACTACTTCGTGCACTCCTCTTGACTACTGACATCAAATGAAGAGAACACTTGCAGATCTTATATCTTCTTTGCATTCATGAATATGTTTACATGAAGTTTTAGACAAATTGTCTGGTTATTTACCTCATTTAAATGTTAAATAAATTGGTGACCAGTTGTAGAATTAACATCCGAGAGCATAAAAGAACCTGTTGTTACCGACCATATCTGCAGCTTGTGTTGTCCTTGCCTAGTGAAAATTCTGCGGTTGACCTCGCTCTTATGAAATTAGTCTAAATCTCAACATCAGTGTGGCACAGTAGAAGAATTGAATCAAATTACATCTAACTTGCACAGGAAATGGTTGGTAAATATAATTATCTATGATTTGAATTCTGACCATTATAACTGATATACCAACTACCACATGGTAGTTCGAGTATTTATATAAATAATGCCTCTAGACTTAGACGCACGTCAGATGAAAAACTACATAATTTTCTCAAAATATATTATTGTGACAGGTATCGTATCAAGTATGGAGAAAACTACTCAATCAAATATTTCCGTTAAGATTACAAAAACAGATAACAAAATAAGTGAACGTTAGTGTGGACGAAACTGTTTTGAATGCTATAACCCTGAATTAAACTTCAACTCACCTGAACAGGACCGAGACTTTGAAAGCTATGAAAGTGTGCATGATTTTCAGTGTAACTATGACCGGGAGCAATATGAAACGCCCCACCAACTCGATTAACTGTTAAATTTCCATGAATTCTGCAACCTTCATTGCCTATCTTTTGTTTAATCTCGTTCCAGTTTTCCTTTCGGCACTGTTCAAACGCAGAAATATTTACAAATACCCATCGCATTTCATTATACGCCATTTGAACTTCCTCACATGTATTACAGCATCTTAAAATATAGTCATAGCAGTATATACATCGATTAATGAGTGTATTAAAATCAGGGAATATGAAAACACAAAGTCTCATACAGTATGCTGACACAATATTATTTGATGAAAGGATTGCTCCAACGGAGCCTCTTGAACAAGTATGTTCAGAAAGAGTTTCTTTCCCTACAAAAATGTTTCAGGATCGATTACATCGCCTAAATTCCTCACAGAAAGAGTTGACCACTTCACTTATCTTGAGAGTCTCGTCAACCTTATTGGGCTAGTGTCCTGCGAAATCTTGGCTGGCGTTAAGCAACCTGAATGGTAAAATGATGTAAGTCCTTTAACTCTTAGTGAAGCTGAAAATATTATAAGCAGTCTAAAGCGAAGGAGAACAGTGGATCCTGATCGACTAATCCCTGAGAATTTTAAGGATGGTGGCTCAGTTTGAGCAGCTAGATTAAGTGAAATACTAGCTAACATCTGGAAACTGGATATAGTTCATTTGACTGGTTTCGATCACTGATCGTCTCAGTTCATACGAAACGATAAAAATCCTCTTGTGACAATCACAGAGCAATCAATTTATCTAATATAGCATCTAAAATATTAGCCTCAATACTTCGATATCTAAACAGAGCTCTTGAAGAGCGAACCCGACAAAACCAGACAGGCAAATTATGGAACTTAGACACACTCCCCGACGTCCGATTACAGTTGTCCTCATTGGTCCTAAGGCAAAACTTAACTTTTATTTACTTATTTTAACACATAGATATTGGTACAGGTACACTTAACTTTGCTTATCGTGAGGTTCTGTGGCAGTGTCTGTCACTGAAAGGCGTACCAAAGAAGTACAATAGCCTTGTACAAACTTACTACCTGCACATTTCTGGTCGAGTCAGAGCCCATAGCGAACTGTCATCGGAACTGGTTGCTTCAAGCGATATTCGTCAGGGTTGTCCGCTTACCTCATTTTTATTTAATTTTGTCGCAGACATGCTTTTAGCGATAGTACTTCCATCGTCTGATTTTTTCGGGGGTTAATTATGTAACAGGAGATTCACTTGTCGTCTTAGAGTGCACAGATTGTATAATACTGTTTGGTGAAGACACTAACAAAATTCAGTTTTCTGATCACCTTATGCATCAATGCAACGGGAGGTTCACTTGTCGACTGAAGGCATTGACAAAATGCAGTCTTTTGATTACCTTACTGATGTGTAGGCGAGAACGATCATGATTGGTTGTCTGCTTAGTCAGACATGTAGATAGTCTGACAGGTGTCAGATAAGTTATATATTCCCTTATCCTTATTATTGTGACGCACTTATTATTGATTGTTCATTGTTGTGGATTGTGTCGGTTTTTGGTGTGAAAATATATTTACGTTCTAGTCAGGCTAGTTACGTGTTCTTGATCTGAGTTGTGTTGACGTCGTGTAGAATAGACACTGGGAGGGATCTAGTGTAGATAATTGTTTAAGACGAAGTAAAACGCGAGTGTTATAACACTTATGCAACAATCCAAGGATGTTTAGAACGCGGTTTTCTCCCTCCCAATGAAAAATGTTATTTCGAGATTGGGTTACGTCACCACCTGGATTAATGATAGGGGATGAAGAAGCTAAACGGACTGACTGCTCCATTTACCTTGAAAGCCTCACAGTACTGATGGTCTGGTTACTGACGAAATCTCAGCACGGACTCATAAGGCTCCATTAGCTCCCGCCAACTTGCGTAACTTGTGGCGTAGTTGAGATATTCGTCTTTTAACCAAAAGGCAAGTCTACTGAGCAGCAGCGCACTCCGTTTTACTTTATGGATATGAAACTGCCATTAGGAGTAGAGGATATTCGTAGGTTACTGGTATTCGATCATAGGTGTATACGAATGATTGCTCGTGTATTATGGGACCACGGAATCATAGAATTAAATAAATATGGAAATTTAGATGAGGTAGCAAACCTTCATCAATTGAAGTGGTTGGAACATATATTGCGTATACCAACCACTATCTGCCTCGACTGCTGATGTTTTCTAGTGTAGAGGTAGGCTCGGACACAGCTAGGGGCGGGAAAACAAAAACATTGCATCGGTCCAAGAGGCCACTGACAATTAAATTTAGCCACGTTAATAGGTAGAGATTACTCAGTTATGGTCCGCGTGATTATCAAAACCAATCATTAGAGACTTTGGATGACATGGGTTGACACAGGTGCATCCATTCTTTGCCTTCCCCCAATCCCTGAGATCTTAAATTCCTAAATTTTTAGTTTTTATTTTACTAATTAATATCTTTTTTCGAGTTGAATTTTTGATGCATAATCTTTTCTATTACCAATGATACTGTTACTAACTCTACTATTCTGAGATTTGGTCTGAAAATTTCATCTCTGTGCTAATGCGGTATGGCAAATTAAACCAATGTACATACGTACCGATTTCTACATTGTGACTGAGTGAATAAACTGAGAAATCATCGTGAGAACTAGAAGTGATACCCTAGCACAAAGAACGATTACTTAAGGTTACCATTATAAAAGTCTGATTGATTTACCAAGCATCCGTAGAAGGCTTAGTAAGAGGGCATGAAAATGATGAAGGGTGAAGCGTATCCAAATTTTGGAGCCACTGCATCATAATAATGTCATTTACTGAATGTAGATCAATAAGTCAAGACGTTCAATAAAAGCTTAGTATCTCTAACAATCGTCCCATTCATTTTAGGTAGCACATATAGATGGCTAACTTGGACTTTTACGAAATTTTTATGATTGCTCATATTTTTCATAGCATCCCATTTGTACAGTTCGTCTTGCCATCTCCAAACTGTTTTTCAAATCAATCTGTTAACTCCCTTTGGAAAATATATGTTACATTGACTATCGTTCACCACAATATACCTCGCTACGTACATCTTGTCCTCTTAAGCTGTTGTCACATTGATGGATTCCTAAAATACATGGTGCATACTTTTAACTTGGTGTTGTAAAAGCTATTCTAGTTGATCCTCCATATATACATATTCATTAGTTATCGTTAATTTTACCGCCTGTAGCCATAAATATGCGTAAAATAAACAGGGATTCCGAAGGTCATCGACAAGCTTTATCACACAGCACTTTTCCAGAACCTGATCTGTGTTTTGCCTCAGAGGTAATCCCAATAGGAAGTGCATCTATTGCGTAGCTAAAACGTATAACATAGAATTGAATAACGTGGGCTAGGGAGAGTGCTTGTTACCGGGGGAACAATATGCAAACTGCTTATGACGAACTGAACAACATAAAGATACACGGTAAATGCCAAAACAACACAATTTTATCTAACTTGTTGTAAAATATGTAACTTAGGGTAGTCTAGATCAATTCAGGATCCTCAGAAGACATGCAGAGACGACATTACAGTGTCCTCAGAGTTTAGTGCAGCAAGATTTTTAAGAAACTTGGATGGGGCTAGTGTGCATAATTTCTTTGCTTTTCAAAATTAGAAAAAAACAGCAGTACCACAATTAACGGGAGAATCAATGATAATAAAGATAGCAAGTCTCGAATTCTAGCGCTATGTTCCTTCATCTATATGGTTCGATAGCATTTCGACATTACAGCTAGTGATAATTCGTGATGAAAACCCTTATCGTAAATCCTAAACCTAACTTCTAAATTCTAATACCAATCCAAAACCCTTTTGACACTAGAAATTATGTCTTCTCAAGGTTACACTGCCGTGAACCAAAAGGCATCTATAAAGTATAGTCTCACCGAAAAGACATTTCTATGACGATTCACAAGCGTATCAAGATTCCGCAGGGATCAAGATTTCGAAGCGACAGTTGAACTATTATTACTTATTGCAGTCAAATAGACGTTACTTAATCTGACGCAAATAACTGAGGTAGTCATAGTCAAGGCAAAACGGAATTCTTAGAGATGGTTTTAGCGAATGATAAAGTGATCTGATTATTCTATTGGAATATTTAACTTACGAATTATATATACACTAATCAAAGAACTCAGTATTTTTGTGACCTACTTCCTTGAAGGAGACTCTGCCCCATAACATGAGCCACAATAATTGGGATCGCTCGTCGTTGTGATAGCCGAAGCATCATTTACAGCTGGGAAAATATTGTTGAGTATGAGCTTACCATGGCGAATACTATCTGATAAAGGAGTACCATCAACTGAAACACTAGTTTTATAAACTTCATGCATAACATTTAGCTGCTGTGCACCTGTTGTGTCCATTGTATCTAGGCTTAAAACTACAGTTTGCATCCAAAGGGCACAAACTTGACTTACATCTGCACGGGATAAAGTTTAGTGTTATATCCATGTAGATAGACATCTTTTCTCCACGATTGACATCTACAATAATCTCCTGCTTATTCCGTGTGCGCGTAAAAGAGAGAAGTTCTGATGTGAACAAAACTCCGATGATTAGACTACTTATTATTGAAACTGAAAACGATTAAGTAGGCTAGACCAAAAATGCGAACGAAATACCCAAAGCTCCAGACAGCGTTTTGATACGAAAGTCTTTGAGTGGTTTTGCAAAAGCATCAAAATTCTGAAGAGACTTCATGACATAAACCATTACTGAACAGCAACAACCTCCCACTTAGTTCGTAATGTATTCACATGCAGACAAGGTCATTAGAGGACGTGCCACGTCCAATATAACATACATTTAAGTGGTCAAATGGTTGGCGAAGAAATAAAGAACTTTTCTCTTAGCGAACCACTGTGCACAAGAACAGAAGACCACCAATTTTTGAACAATCATACTAAAGAAGATACAGATTTGTGTAGTAAGGACAGAATGCCTACAACCTATGTCATTCCTTTTCTATTATGCTTTTATGAGTGTCCAGCCTTCTCTTGAATGAGTCAGTTGAGGGTGTGGACACCACTGCTCCGGGTAACAGGCTCCAAGTGCTGATGACTCAGTGTGAAAACCTGTATGCTATAGGTATTTTCTTCGTTCTTGGCTTTTCTACTCGCCAGCTATGTCCTCTGAGATGTCCCGGTCTAATGGGAAGAAAAAGAGAGAAAATATTAGGTCCAAAATCGTTTCTTAATATTCTATACATCAAAATTAGATCGCCTCTTAGTTTGCGATGGGGAGCTGACAGATCTGTAGTTCAATGGAATTGGTTTTGGTTCTATTTTATGCATGAGAATGAAGATTGCATCCTTCCAGTCCATAGATAACATACCTTTGTCAAATGACTTATTAAATTTCACAACGCCTGGGTTAAGAGATATTGTGAGATATGTTTCAGGATTTTGGGGTGTGGTTCCTCCTGTCCTGTTGATTTTTCCATGTCCAAGGTACTAAGAGACTTAAGTATATGGTCTCGATCAAAGTCCACGGTGGGCGAGCAGTTTGTAGACTTTGTGTTTGCGTCTAGTTCTTCGTCCACAAGAGGTTTCTGAGGAAAAACTTCCACGAAATAGTTAACCACAGCCTCTGTTTATATGATCTTCCTTTATCATTTCAGATTTACTCCCTTTTTTTAATTAGGTTGAGAATCCAATGCTGCATGCTTGTTCTGTAATTTATGTATGTCTCTTAGGCTGCTTGAGTGCAGATTGTGCCAACTGCATTTCATATTTTCTATGTGCTCCCCGGATTCGAATTATAGATATAAATATAATATATTTCTGCAAGGGCAGTTAAATGCCATTTTTACAGACATGATCTACAAATTACAACATTTATTGTTTCACAGTATGCATGCTAAATAAATACAGACTATAAAAGTGAATATCAGTTCATTCCTTCAGATGTATTGAGCAGTCTTTAAAATATTTTCCAAAGTGGCATCGTGTCCACCTCACACACCAAGTCGAATCTCCGCATTATTGTGTTAGAATTTTGGTTGTGCTAAGTATTTATTCAATACAACTTTTTAATTTCATTGTTGTTATAAAGTACACTTGAAGAGCGCTTGATGTGAACTATAACTTTGGGAAAACAGATGTCAGAAGTTCCATAGCTGTGCCCTCAGAGAATGATTCTGAAAGAAAAGAGAAACCGAGGAGCAGCAAGGCACTTGGATATGAACGGTAGACAATACTTAACATTTAGTAGTGGAACAGACAGAGGTATGATAAGTTATTAGAATAAATTGATACTAGCTCTTGTAACGAAAGTGAAATGTGATCAGAGGCTCCAGATGAGAGAACGCAATAATAATGAACAATGAGGTGTGATGTTTACCAAGGTGGAGCAAATTTAAATAAAGGAAGAGTAGTCAGTGTTGGAATAAGGAAGGCTGATTATTAAAACAGAAAGTGCATATAGAAAACTAATAACCATATACTTTATTGCCTGTTTTTTTTCATCCGATGCCTGACACACAGTCGTAAATTAAGTCTGAGTTAGCATGTTATAGGTTGTCTTAGTAGAATAGCTAATCCAGCATAAAATTGGAAACACGAGTCTGAATGCTGACCGTAGGAGAACAACCGCAGTATGAAACATAACGAGCATGATAATAAATGTTCTGCCCCACAAACATGGGTGGATTGAGGTTATTGCCCTCACCACCAATCCTTGCCGTTCAGTAACCCCACTCTCCCTCCTTTTGTGATGTCAGGCTCATTTAAGCTTAATTTTTGCATATATATCATACCTCACACAATGCTCTGTGTCTCAGATCATGTTGGAAAACACTAATTCTATAAGTTCCACTTTACAATCTTATCAGGCAGTTACTAATTATGGACTGCGATAAGTCATCGATGCAAAGCTTTATTCGAATATAGTATAAAGTATGGTTAGCCAATCAGAGTATAGGCTTTAAGAAGGGAATATTGTAAGCTAGCTGTTTAACAAAGTAGGCGGAAAAGTATAGAAATATATGAGTTATAGAAAAGGTTGTTAGAATTATGGTCTACTATGATATTAGTACTGCTCCAATAATAGACCTGGTCCTAAAATTGTAGATTTGTCATGATAAAACTGCCTAATCTATAAGACCTTACGTGGAAGTCACATCATCGTCTACACCAACCCACTGCATCGCAACAATTACCAATATATGATGGAGAACAAGCTGAGGCCAGAGATAGAACAATATATTTAACATGAACAAAAGATGTAAGGTAATATTCAGCAGGGACCACGCCTGCATGGCCGAGCTATGCCATCCGATGAACTCGATTTGTTTCAGTTCATCGTTCCCGCCTTCTCCATCGTTGCGTTATTCCCCGAGTAAAATATTGAACATCTATTTTCCGAGTAGTCTCGTGTTCAGCTTTGAGGATTGTGGGGTTATGGTCTAATGCCACTACACGTTTAGAGCAAAACTATATCCAAACCACTCTGACTGGCAAGGGAAAGTTCTCCACAGAATTAAAGGTGTGCTTCACAAATACTCGCAGCTTACTAAATAAAATGGCGGAGCTCAAGACTGGATGTTATTGCTGTCTCAGCAACATGGTTATAGTCAGAAATTCAGTTGGCGGGTTTTTATCCAGTAGGGTTTATAGTTTAAACTGCAGAGGAGGCGGGATTATCCTGTACACGAATAGTTCCTAAACCATACGGACAGTTTAGACAGTGGCATATGATTCAGGGACATGTGAATTGGCGCGTTGCATCCTGAAATGTAGATGGTAAGATGTTGAATTGGTTGTAGTACATCGCAGCCCAGAATGTGTAGTTGATGTCTTCACCCTAAGCAAAATTAAGTCCTGGTGTAAAAGGGGTAAAAGCCATATAATAGGCGACTTTATTGCACCGCATATAAACTGGGTAGACTTAGAAGTAGGGTCATCGATAACGTCAATCGATTGCAAACTGTTAAAAACCTCAATTGCACTAGCTTTATTCCAACACATTAGAGATCTCACCAGGTATGAATTACGAAGCTCTTCTACTCTCTTGGACTTGGTCTTCACACACAGTGATGATGTCGGTCAAATGATTTCCCCCCACCTCTAGGAAGAAGCGATCATACAATCATCTTATTCCAATTCATGTTTGGGATGGCCTGTCAAACAGTTGCACCGGCCCGTCCTAACATATGGAAGGCAGATATGGAGGCAGTCAATTCTTCAGCTTCAGCTAAAAACTGAGAAATAGACACAAGAGGATCAGTAGAAGATGCATGGACTCATTTCAGGCAGTCATACAATCGAGTAACTTAACCAAAGATACTCTAGATAGTCTCAAAAAGGAAGAAGCACGGCCATCCCTGGATATGCCGGGGTATTTGACGTTTACTGAGACAAAAGAAAAAATGTTGGAATTTCGCAATCAAACTTGGCACAGCATGTGTGACTGAGAGCTACTCATTTACCTTATTTTGTCTCATACACTCATCATCCACACCGCTCAGACCTGACTCTTTATGGTCTGTTTTGCGTCGATATGTGAATCCGGAACTGAAACCGTAGATTCACATATCTAAATAATGTCTATATTTAGTTCCTTATTCTCAGCGCGCTTATTCGCTATAATTGTGACAATGCCTACATCCGTATGCTTGTTATTCACTTCCCTGATGAAACCCGCCTTCTTGGTCCAGAACTGGACTCATGATAACGCTCTCTATTTCGCCGAAAGTGTAATTCAACTTATCTACTGCTTATTTATCCGACGGCAATTTCCTAGCTATGTTCGGCAGCTCAATAGCGTGTAGATTAGCAGAGACTATAGAATAACACGCTTTTCACAGACAACATGATAATGATCTGCAGCACCTTTTATATGCAACGGGGTGCACACATTGTGATACCACTCATTGCAGTTGTCACACTGCATCCCATCATCGACAGGGAAATACCATCCAGCTCTGCCACAACGATGTTTTACTTGCACTATAAATTCTTTTTCTGATTTCACAGCGAAAACTGATCTCCAGATAATATCTTTTCAAGCTTGAAAAGTGATAGAGACTCAACATAAACAAAAAACGGGTTTGTATATAACTGTACCTAACAATAATAAAAAAATCTGAATTCAGTAGTTACAAAAAAACCTTAACACCTATGGGTACAAACAATAATCAAATATATACTCAACGAAGGAGAATAAATAACAATGCCCTAATTTTTTTGTACTGCACACGTAAAGTACAGATAATAAGCATCTCTAGAAAAAAATTTTTACTCTTGGGGATTACTTTGACTAAAATAAATTCAATCCAAGTACAAACAGTGGTCCTGATATGTAATTTGACGAGCAATATCATGAGATATACTTATAAAAAAAATACCATTGTTTTTTATGAATAAAGTGCAGAACTTGAAAGCATGCTGAAATAAGCCAACAGATTTCTTCATTCTTTATAGGATATGATCGAAGATCAAGTGAATATTGTTATTCCCAACTAGTTTTTACGCTTATCATTAACTAATCGCACTGAACGTATCGTATGGTGTCCTGGTACTACATAGTATCCTCAGGAGTGAACAAAATGTTAGATAAGTTTATTATCAAGAAGAACAAATGTAGATGCTGTTGGTGAGCGTTTCCAAATGCAATGTTGTGCGTCAGCATCAAAGTTTCCTCTCGAATTGTTATATCAACACTGAGTTGAGAACTATAAAGTATTGAAACTAGACGCCGATAACTCAATTTAATCCAATTTAGGTACCGTGACAAACTGATAATGCAAAGATCATCTTCACATCGTTTAATAGCTATAGTTTACTATAGATATGTTGGAGACATATTTCCTT